TCAGACAGAATCCTATTGCTGCAAAAAATTCATGCTTTATGCATAAAATTAATTATCAAAATAGTTTTCATAAAGCGCGAACGACCTTCTTTAATATCTGTATTAATTTTTTCCTATTATGTACTATTTCTAGATGAGGAGATTCATGTATAATGTTTTCAGAAATACTGAAAATTAATACTTTTAGTAAGAAGCAACAATAAGAAATGCTCCTTCTGGGCTCTATGACTTCCTTGACGTTGAAAAAAAATACTTTTATTTCTTGCTCACATTTAGTAGTGCAACTTGCTGAATGTAATTTAACAGCATCATTCAATTGGCTGCCTCCATTGGTTTTCTCTTGGTGTAACATGAATATGAGGCTGTCTTGCTTAGAAAGTTCTCCATGAAGGCATCCCTCCCCTCAGGCAGGTAGCTTTTGCATATTCAAATAAACCAAACTAAACACTCTAATTATTAGCAAACAGTTGCTTAGAGTAGCTCAATTTTCGTTCTGAAATATGTAATTCAAAAACATTTCATAGAAATAATTTTATATTAATGTATAATTTTTTTCTTTCTTTTTTTTTTTTTTTTCTTATAGGAGTCAATAAAATAAGTTCCTTTTTTCAGAGTCAAGAAGATTGTTTCCAACCCAATTCCCCCCCCCCCGAGGCTTTAAATATTCAAATTTTTCTCTTTGATTTCTAGCTTGCTTGGTAGTTGGCAGTATGTTCATTCAGTCTCCCAGTATACTTATTTGTTTCCCTCTTTATTTAATTGCAAGTTTCACTTTCAGAAATTCTATTATGGAATGTTTTCAACATCCATGGTATAAAGGTGGTTTTATTTATTTCTGTCTCTCTCCCTCACCATTATTTAGATTTTATAATTCAGTTTTTAATGCATATAGTAACAATTTTTAATACATTATTTCAGTTGTTAACACTATGCAACATATATTCACCTCTCCATAATATGGCAATCAAAATGCTGGTTTAAAACAAAACTGAAGTTTTTACAATTAGGTTCAATGTTATTTTCCTCCATTGTTTAAGTGAAGTTCAGTTAATCCAGGTTTTATTGTTGTATGCGTATGGATTGAATGCACACAAAACCGATAATGGCTTGATAAAATTATTTTACCAAAAGAAATTACTGGAAGGCACATGAGAGTTGGATATGGTTACAGTTATATATAGGGATCAATTATGGTTATTCAATTACAATACCAATTATAGTTACACAGGGACTGGACCAAAATGCCATGTAGTTTAAGCGACTTTTGGCGATTATTTGCCAAATTTACAGACAAAAATTAGTTGCCAAAACCATCACCAGTTTTGTAAAATATGTGTTCACTGTGTGTTAAATAGATTTGCTCGTGTCATTTTGCTTTCTGTCAAAGTTTCTTCCTCTTAACACTTTTCATGTTATATTATACGAAAGAATATACAATTTTACACATAATTTCACTAAAATTATTTACGTATACCATATCTGATGGCATATAAGACGCACCCTTATTTAGAAGGCCACACACAAGGGAAAAAAGTTTCAATAGTCAGCGCTACCACAATAACTTAACATGTGGTTTCTTTTAGTTCTCACGTTTCGTAAAAGCCAAATAAACAATCATTGAATGCAATTACCATATTTTTATTATATAATTAACAAACAGCAAGCTATTTTGAATATGATATGTAAATTTCCATAATGAATAAACAAATGAATGGCAAGCAATCAAACATAATACTACAAAATAAAGCAGAAACAACAAAAAACGTAGATTCAAGGAAAATGTTGCCTATCATGAAATTAGACTTTAATCACTTTCAAAACCATAAAAATCCTTTTCACTATCATCATCATTGAAAACGAGAATATCGTCATCACTACTGTTTTCGTCATTGCTAGTATCACCTTCTTCGAATAATGCATCGTCTTCTATTCCGTCAAGAGCATTATTGATTCTGCACTTCTTAAAGGACTTATTTCAACCTCTATGTCCTCCCAAGATCTTTTTACCCACTCGCACAATTGCGAAATAGAGAGCCGCTTCATTCTACCTGAGGGTGTGATGTGGCTTTCCTATCCACTTATTCCATCGTTCTCACACTTTTTCCTTAAATGGCTTATTCACTGATACATCTAAAGGCTGCAATTGGCTAGTCAGTCCACCAGGAATGACAGCTATCTGGGATTTTAATTCTCTCGCTTTATTCTTTATGGTTTCAGTTCTATGGGCATTAAACAGATTCAAAACCAAAAGAGAGGGTTTTCTTAAGAGTCCACCAGGTCGCCTCATCCATACATTCTGTAATAGTTTCATTCCAGCTTCGTCCATCCAGTCTTTCGGATGAACATGAACAATTACCCCGTTGGAAGTTTTTCTTTCGGATGAGTTTTTCTTTTGAATATGAAAAACGGCGGTAGTTTTGTGCCATAAGCACAACATGTTAGAACTACTGTATATCGGGTTTTTTAATGACCTGTGGTTTTTATGGTTATTGATTTAGATCGTTTAATACTCACAGTCTTGTTGGATGGTACATCAAATGTGAGTGGAATTTCAACCATATTTCCTATTTGACCGAGCTCAAAAGAAGTTTTCTTGCGTGCATTTATAACAAACCTAGGAAATGTCAGCATTTTTTCCTTCATAATCTGCTGGCATTTTCTGTGCAATAGTTGTTTTTGTGTTTATTCATAAGCCTTGCCTTTTCATGAACCTGTAGCACCAGCCCTCAGACCCTGAAAAGTGCTGATTCCCATGTTTTTCTGCAAATTCTTTGGCCTCATTGATTATCATTTTAGTTGAAACACTTATCCCAGATTTCCTCTCATCTATCACCTTTTAAGGCTCCATAGACGTAATGTGACCGTCGAACCTGTTCGAACTGCGACATCAGCTTCGAGCTTTTTGGCGACAGATATTTCGCGCATGCGCAAAATAATTATGGCAGATGTAGAAAAAGTTATGTGTGTCTAGACCTTTATCCGGGCTAAAAATAGCATTCAGTATTGAAAGTTAACCTGTGTCCTACACGTATAAGACGCAGGTAACTTTTTTGAGACCAAATTTAGGAAAAAAGCGAGTCATATATACCGTCAAATACGGCATTCCAAATTTGTAACTATATGTTTTCTTTCATATAGATTTATTTCCATCTTGCTATCAAAATTAGTTCTCATAAATGATCTGATATCAGTGTTTCTCTTTTATTTTAGATAGAAACAGGTTCTTTAATATTTTGATTTATACAGATGTAAATAAAAGAATATTTGTTTTTATAAAATTATTTTATATTGTTCTTTCTTCAGTTTTATAATATAGTAGTTGATCGAAGATACAAGCATTTTGATTGGTTACATGAGAGACCAGAAAAAGAAATTTTCCTTAATTCCTATACCACCTTTTCCTGATACACAAAAATCAGGTAGATATCTAAATTTTTTTTCCTACTATTAATCTGCTTATCTGCATCAGAATTTTTATCTAATATTTTTTTGTTTATTGCTATGTTGCAAAATTATAATTAATAATGATCTTTATAAAAAATATGAATTTGAATAAAAGAATAACACCTAAGCATTTACAATTTATGTCCAAGTAAGTGAAATAGGTAGGCATAACAATGAAGTATTTCACAATAAAATTTCTTGTAAAAACTTAACACAATAGTAAATTTTTTGTTGTATTACTTTTGCAGAGCTGAATCAACAAATATGTCAGAAGATAGTTGTTTCATTGCATATTAAAATACACTTTAATTTCTTTGACTGGATTATTCAATTATGGCAAAGCACACGAGGGCTATTTGCCTAAAAGGAGGGATGCCTTCGTGGAGGACTGACTGTCTAAGGGAACTGCTCATATACATGTTACACATGGGGAACCACGAAAACGACCATGCAGCCAGCCCATTCACAGGATTCAAACCTTGGACCGAACTACCAGTGTTCAACGTCTTTACCATTCAGCCACTGGTGGACGTATAAATTTCTTTCTAAATGTTCATTCGAGAACATTTATATAACAGTAACTCTCACACTTCTCCGACACATTTTGGAAGAATTTATGCTAGGCAATCTGCCAGCTGATTTTGATACAATAAAAATTAATAAAATACCAGGGATAACTTCTGCAGAAAATATATTGTTTTCATTTCCAGCATATATGAAGTTATAAATACATTTTACAACAATGCATTTTCTTTTTGTAGATATTCTTTGAAATTATTAAGCTCACCACTTTCAGATGAAATCTCAAAGAAAAATTGTAGCACATATAAACTCGAAAGATAATTTTTAATATTTACAAACATGTAATAAAAATTTATTTATAAATATATTATAATTTTAAATATTAATATTCTAAACCTGCTAAATATCCACAGTGAAGTGGAAGTCTGTGAATATGTATTCCAGTTGATGTCACATTGTGTCAAACAATGGTGATTTAGGAGTTACACCTATATTGTCATATAAATTTTCTTTCCATTCAAATGATCAGTTCAAATACCGCTAATCACTTAAATATTAGTTTAATATTCTTAACAAAATCTTGGATACACATCCTTTTTAGCTAACTTTTTTAACTAAGATATTTTTTTTAGTACCTACTATCCAAACATATATTTTTAAGAGAGTAACTTTACACGAAGAGGAAAACTGACTTCCGTTTTTTAAATAAATCTTTTATCAAGGACTGCATTCTTTTATTGACATGTGCTATTAAAAACACATTTTACCATTAAAATTTTTAAAAAATTATGGTTGAAATCAGCAAGTAATATTTTATTTTTTATTCTTAAATGGACAGTATAATCCTGTTCTTAAGAGATAATCCTAATTTCAAATTAAATAAAAATTCAGATATATAGTTAATGACAGAAGTAATATTTTAAATTTAACAGTATTTATGTAATGTGCTACGAAACTCATCACAAACTGAAATCTTTTCACTGTATACAATGTGTGAAAAAAATCAGAATTGGTAAGAAATGATTGCAAATAGATTTTTTTAAAATAAATTTTAATGAACACATTGTAAATTTTTACATGATATTCATTTAATAGAAAAATTCTTAATTCTTTCATATGATGATGTAGTGCATATTTGCTAATGAAGAACTCCGAAATGAACTGATGAATAAACTGTACAGGAATGTAATTAAAAACATGGAACTAATTATATACATTAAAAGAGTCCTAAGACTTCATTTTACATAAAAATGTCAACTGAAGCATTTTAAATTCATTATTTCCAAATTTAACCACACCATCACATCCATCTATGCTCAGCAGCCGGCCAGTTGCTTCCCGTTCTTCACCAATGATAACTTTTACCTGAAGAAGAAAAAAAACTTAATTTTACTCAACACATGATTTAACAAAATACTTGTTAAAATTCTATACTTTAGAACAAAATTATTCTAAATATTAAATGAAAATCTTATTAAATTATAGCTACTTATAAATAATGCAATTATTATCAAGATTTTATTATTTCCATAATAAAATGTTATTTAATAAAAATATTCACAGTATCACCCAATAATGCACATGTAATGATTAAATAAACAATACATGCATACAAAAAACAAGAAGAATACAGTGTAACAAATAAATAATATTCAGTCTATCAAAATATTGTATATGATACATAATGTTTACACAAAAATTTACACATACAAAAGAAATATTTACCTAAAATTAATAGTTACAGAACATTAGTGCACACAAATAAAAATAATTCAGTTAGAAACTAAATATTTAATACAGTCAAAAGTCGTTAATTCGGACCTCAAAGCTACAAACTTTCTGCACATGCGTCGCGTTCACGCATGCGCACAGGCGTTTACGAGAGCGCATACGACCCTTACGGCTGCGAATATGTTTGTGCGCGCGGAGTTATGCGCTAAGCTAAAGTTATCTAATTCAGTTAATGTTGCAGATTGCGTTGTTCCTTAATCTTCGAATTGGATCCGGCTTATTATTTTTTGCAGACTGTTAGAGCAATTTTATAAAAGTAAGCTTGAACTTTCGATTATGTCAAATAGAATTTCTGATATATATTTACTTCAAAGTGAAAGTATGCTTTGAAATCCGAAATCTGTTTATCAATTTCACTCTGCTCTGCAGCAGATGGGGGGGCAGAAACCTCATTATTAGATTATGATAGATTAGAAAGATTATGTCAAATAGAATTTCCAATATATATATTTACTAATATGTAATTTGTATCTACAAAGCGAAAGTATGTTTTGAAATCCGAAATCTGTTTATCAATTTCACACCACTGATTGGAAATTGATCTGTCAGCACTATCCTTATCTTCAGGGCAGATGTTTTTATTTTATTTGGTTTATGATTCGGTACTAAGTGTAGTATTTCATCTTGAGTCTTTGATATGATTTAAATCAAGTTCCTGGTCATTATAATTCGCTTCCCTCGTTAGAATTCCCTTCCTAGTGAAGAAAGTGTCCCAGAGGTTATTGAAAACGAAAACATTTGGATTGACAAATTAGTCAGTATTCTCAACACAGCAATTATAGGACTTGAACAGCGGAACTTTGTAACTAAACAAGAAATTATGTCTGTTTAATAGAATTAAAAAGAAAGTATTATCACATGAAAACGAAGCAAGCAACTTACATTGAAGGAAAATGTTTAATAAAGTAAACAAATAAATATTAAGCTTTTTCTTTTTGTAAATTTTGATACCCTTTAGATCATAATTGTTCTTTATTTCATAAATTACGGTTTCATATTTTTAATTTTGTAATTTCTGCATGCCATCTTACCAGATTTAAACTGATGATCTATAATCCGCAAAAATCGATAATCCGGAATCGCCGAAGTCCCGACGAGTCCGGATTATCGACTTTTGACTGTACTTTCCATAAGGGGATTCGTGCACTTTTTAGAATTTTTTTTAAAAAGGAAGATGAGTTTTCCTTCCTTTTTAAGTTATTTTTTCTAAATTTTAAACATCTGTGCAATCTAAAAATTGCATGCAAGTAATGCATTAAAATATGATAGAAGCATGGGAAAATTAACAAACTTTTAAAGCACTTAATTATTCTGTAATATAAAACATGCATATTAAAACATGAAACTTACATTATCTCCTGGTTGAGGAACAACAGGTTCTAAATGCTCTCCAAGTATGTTAACAACACGATCTTCTTTTGGCAAAAATACTGAGCACATACCAGCCTACGTAAAATGAAAGAAAGCTTATCAAGTAAATATATATCATGCATTAGAATTTCATAGACTTTGACAGAAGACAACATACTATTCCTCAGTCACTTCAAAACAAAACAGTTTAACCTGTTCAGGACCAGCGTCACGTATATGTGACGCAATGATTCCACTCTTACCAGCCCAGTGTCATGTATATGTAACTTGAAAACAGAACGCTTTATTTGAATTTTTAAATACCAGTAGATGGTGCTAAATGGTAACAGTTTGTACATCAATTAAGTCATGTGGATTTTGACCTTCATGTATGAGCATCAGTTTCTGTTCTGTGCTTCTGGTTTTGATAAAAACGTTAGTGTAAACTAATTGGGAATCAGCTCTTTTACTCTTTTGCATCGAGAGAAGGCCAAATCTGGTTTCTTGAAACATCGAGAACGCCCATGTACACGAGTTTTTTCTGAAATGGTTTTCCTCCCCTCCTGTATAGTAGGCTGCTACAGCGTTAACAATAACCTACTTAAGTGAATTGATTACTATCTCTTGAAGGGGTTTCCGGTCGTTTCACCCATTGTGTGCAGTTTTCCCTTAGGACAGGATTGCAAATGGGAGCATCAGTAGCTTTCTATATTTCTCCTCAATATTTTTAATGATTTGAGTACTTTATATTGCTTAAAATAACCTGTTTTAAGATGCGATAGTGTAGATTTAGAGGAAACAATTATGTATATTTATGGGGTCAGTAAGATTTTTCATTGTATAAATTAAAGCGCAGTGATTCTTTAAATAAACAAAAATACGTAAAGGCAGTGTGTGTACATTGATTTAATTTATTTTATTTAATAATGTTTTCCTTGATTCTTATATAAAAGAACTTACGAATAATTTTTATAAAAAATAGAAAAGTCTGGTACCTTTTTATCTATTGTCACTGCAGGAAGAAAAATATTTAGGGGAAATAGTTTAGTTGATAAATGGTGGTTTGACAGAGCTTGAATATTACCAGTTACATTTTACAGCCATCCAGCATGAAAATTATTTCTAATATTTCCGCAGTTTTGTGCTAGTAAATACAAAAACACTTTCATTCAGCAAGTTAATGCTACTGATAGAAAATTTATTTCAAAATAAGAGCTATAGAAACCCTCTCTCTCTTCTCTTATTACTGAAATCCCTTCATATAATTTGCATCCATTTACAGGATTAGCAATAAGCATTTATTAACATGCCTTTAATAAATTTATACAGATTTCAATCAATTGTTTATGAATTAATATAATCTTAGAAGGAAAGTAAACCTTTACTCTTATATTGAAAAATAATTATTAGCTGTATATATTTGATGGTTTTAAAACTCATGTTTCAGAAGAAATATATACTTTATCCAAGACATTTTAAATGGTTTTAACATTATAATTTTAGTTATGCATTATCAGGAACACTTATGATTATTAAAATAAAATAACCCTCATACTTTCTTGAAATTTCAAGTGTAGGATACAAAAAGAGATTAAAGAAAAAACAGTTAAATAATTCATTAAACTTATTTTTCGTATGAAGGAATATTTAAATAATGCGCAAAGGTAGAAAAATTCATTTCTTTTTACATTTTATGTTATTTTCATATGAAATCATATGATTTCTCTTTAAGTTTAGATAGCAAACAAAAACTTTCCTTTTACATTATTTGCTGGCCCTGAAAAGGGTCTTTTTTATATAGCAAGAGAAACTGGAATGTCTATTCATCAAAGCAGCCTTTACAAAGGCACATCTTGCAGATTTCGCATTCCCATGTGCTTTGAATAGAATTGTTTGCTGATGTTTTATTTCTTTGCTTTCGACATTTAACGCACGTTCTTTTACACCCTTCAATTTTTCTTCGTTTATGAAAATGACTAGTAGTGGGTTCAAATAATGCTGAAGTGCGCTTTCTATATGAATACACATTTGCTAATTCTTGTACAAGTTCCAGCTTGAAATCATACAAAGTTTTAACCATTTTGTGAGGATCATTTGTCGTATGCTGATTATATAGGCATTATTGATGGTAATATCCAGAGGAACCAAAATATATACAACCATTGGATGATTTTCTGGCAACTGATAATATTTACGTCTCCTGATCTGCCAAATCTACTCCTCCCATGTGCGTATTATATACTGTGAATGAACGCGGCCAAAAGAACTTCAATTTTGTCTGCTCCTTTTCTTCTGTTCACATGACACAGTTCATTTTTGTATTAGTGATAGCATAAAAATTTGCTTTTTATCTACCCAAAACGTTGCCACAACAAATCGGGGAAATTTTTCATTTGAAAAGTCTGACTTTCATTGGGATTTTCAATTTTAAGTTTTAATTTCAGGTGGCAAGTGCTTTCTGTTCGGCATAACAGTTCCGCAAGAATAAAAATTTGTATTTCAATAAATCAACCATCAGCTGAACGTGGTAAAAAATCGGTCAAAATAGAGTTCATGTCCCTTGCTTGTTAAGGGTTTTATCAAATGTGTAACAACATCGTATCCCAATCCTTTGCCTGACCTCACAATTTTATCTCATTTTCCAGCATACAATTCAAAATTTACAGTGTAACCCAAATGAGATGTGCATAACATCCCAATTTTAAGCCCGCGCTTATCTGGTTTTAAGGCATATACTGCACAATTCCTAAACGCCCTTTGAATTTTACCATAGCTTCATCAACCAAAAGATGTTTATACTGCCTAAAACAATCTGAAAACCGCCCTTTTATCTTAGAAATAACAGGTTCTAATTTTTGCAAAAATTAAAAGTTTTCATCATTTCCCTTTACCTCTTTCTCTCTACCAGAGATATGAAAATAATGTTTAATTTTAAAAATCAATCTCTGCACATTAATTCTTATCACTTCATTGCCGAGATAGGATTCTGAGACCAATAATCATTATTTAGGCAAACGCATAATGCTCATTAGAAAAAAAAAAACAGTATAAAAGCCCAAATCTCATTTACGGAGAGTATAGGCTGCCAGCTTTTATCTTCAATACCACGTTTTTTGCACAAAACTCTGCGTATTATTTGTATTCTGTCTAATTTACTTCGCAATATTCATCAGGTAGAAGTAATTTTAAATAATCTAAAGCAGATGATCCAGTTGGCAAATCATGAGACGGTCCAGGTGACGAAGAAAAAGTTCAAATTTATTATTCCTCGTTATTTATGTCATTTCTCCAGTCAGATTCGAAGGGTACCATATGAAGAGCCAAATTTCGTCGTCGTGTTTTAAATATAATTGCATTCGATTTCATCCTCTCCGTTACTATCAAACATATGTTTTGAATGCCCATCATCTTCATTATCTATCAACATATGTTCTGAATGTCCATCATCTTCATCAGATTCAGCGTTATCAGATCGTCTGTTTCTTCAATAATATTGCATTTTTCTTCTTGCGTTAATATCTTACGTCTTCTGATTTTGAGATGAAACTACAAAATAAGAGCAAGACGTTTTCACAACGTGAGAGAGGAGTAAAACGAGCGATCTAGACTCGAGTCACCTACCCTGGGAGCGTTGAGGCTAAACAAAGAGGAGCCCACCTGCATTCAAATAAAAGAGCTACTTCAGTCGCTTCAAAAGAAATGATTGACATGTCATTTAACAGTTCGCGAAACCAATGAAGCATATACTCCGGGATGGGGGAAAGCATCAAGCAGAAGACGAACGAGGCTGTCGGGCGACCTGCCGATGCCTGAATGGCCGGGCGTCTTAGGCATTTTCGATGCGAAAGAGTTAAGTTAAAGGGATAACGGCATATTTGTTTATTTCATTAAGAATTCCTGTTTTTTTTTTTTTTTCTTTTTCTTTTTTGGGTGTCTTTGTTTTTATCTTTGCATTTTTAGTTATCAGAATGTGGGGAATTGCATGCCGCTCAAGAGTTTTCCCCCCTTCTTTTTTTTTCTATTGTAAAGAGAGTGTGGGAAAACACATCTAGCTGACTATAGCGGGTGTAACATCGCCGAACTTCCGTGATGGAAAAGCTCAGACCAGTTGTCCTTTTTTACATTAATTTTAAAACTTAACATAGACTTTCTTGGTTAATTAATAAGTAACGTTACAGCATTATTACATATGGGGAAAGATATCAGCTTTCCTGATGCGTTATGCATCTTACTTGCTCGGCATATGCTCCGAAAAAAGCCGCCACTGTCTCCTGTAAGTCGATTCTCATTCTGAATTATTCCACACACAGCAGAATTATTAAATTTTAATTTAATTACTTACAGAAAAAAAATCTGCAGGTTTCAGATTTTATATTACGTCCAAAGGGGCATTTTTTTTAACATTTTGTGTGTTACCTTTATTTATTATTAAATATCATGTTCTTTGCACTTGAACCATAAAATTCAATTCAATAGGAATGTCGCAAAATAATTTTAAAATGAACATATCTTTAGAATTTCTGATACACAGTTCCGCGCACTGGAGATAAAAATGTTTTTTGTACAACATTGCCATTGCTAGCTTTGAAATCCTTCAGTTTGTTAATCAAAAATTCGTTGAAGTTTTACAAAATATGAAATTGATAATAAAACAAATTCTAAATTTGGTCTTCCACATGCCCATATTTGTAAGAGGATTACGTCATTCAAAATTCGACGGCTCTATGTACCGTTGTTTTATCATAATGCGAGAAATATACATACATTCATGCAGATTTTTCATTATTTAATTTCTTCAAATATAATGCAGGACTCTAACATTTGGTGGCAACAGTTTGAAAAGTGAAACGGACATTTTTAGTGATTCAACACAAAATCGCAAACGATAGTTCAAAAAATAGTCCTTCAGAGACAAAGCCCCTTTGGGCTAATAATTATTGCTTAATTTTCTTTTGCATTTCATATATGCAATTTTATTTTTATGCTTATAGTTATAATTTTAGCATTTCACATATTCCCTTTATTTCTATAAATGTATCTACATGATATTATTTATATTAATTAATACATATTAATAATTAGTAAACTACATACATAATAACAAAAATTGAAGTATAACAAAATATTGAAATGCTGATTTTATATGAATTTTTTTGTAAAAGTAGGCTTAAATGCTGAAAATGCGAGGGCCGGTGGCGGCATTCCATTTCAGGGGGTTCAGTCCTGTGGCTGAGCTTCGTTCTCTGGTGCTGGCCTCAACAATTAAACTAAACTTTTGGGGAAAATGGAAAATGCATTTCATACATGTACTTTGCATTTTTGTTAGACAAGTACAAACAGACAATCCTAAATATTTAAAAACAAAATAAAGATACAGAATTTTAAAACAGATTACACACAGAGAAAAACGGCCAATTAATAATAAAAACATACAGAAAATCTTTTGTGTTAACCTCCAGTGGCATGACTGCCTTTATCCAGTCATAAGACTTTTTTGTCACTTGCTATATATTAACTTACGATTTAAAATACTTTACTTTCTTTATTAAAGTAAATATTATGTTAATGAATAAAAGCTTGTGAAAACAAACTAAGTTACTATGCAGATTTAGCTAACAAATGATTTTAAATAAAGTCTTCCTTCATCAGTCGGTAAAAAAAAAAATGCCACTCAGAGGATTAAAAGTTTATAAAATGAAATTTTCTGCAGTGAATATTTTAAAAAACATCCAGCTCTCGATCAAAAGGAAAAAATATTTTTAGGTAGGAATTAAATATTGGCTAATTTATAAGAATAATCAAATAAGTTCATTGTCATTCAAGAACCTAACTGAATTACAAAATTAATATACATTTTGTAGCATTCAGCAAACAGTGCTCAAAATCATTTCTACTAGCCTACTATACTATTTCTTACTTATAAAGATATTAATACATAATTTGGAACGTGTTACTAAATAGCAAAGCCAAGCACTCACATATGAATTAAGTTGCCGAATAGAGGGGAAAGCCAAGATAGCATTAAATGTTTTCTGGATTATGAATGCATTTGCAGAACATTAAAATTTTCATTAAATACTTACAGAGATGCCTCTTATAATGCCAGTTTGTCCGCTAAGCCCATCATCCTCATGTGTATCTCTAATAATGACTTCAATGTCTGTTGTTTGCCATTCTACCGATGAATGATCTAAGCCTATAACATAGTCAAAATTACGCTACAGAAGAAGTTAAGGTAATAAATAAATTTAAAAAGAGAAAAATAAGTTCACATAAAAAAATTTGCAAAAATCACTAAACAGAAAACACAAGATTATTAGACAATTTTACTTCTTTGATATATATATTGTTGCCTGCATATGGGTTCGTAATGGATCAAAAGCATACAGAACCAATCATTGCTTAATAAAATTTATTTTCTCAAAAGAAATACTTTACCAATACTCACACAGCTCTTCTTAGTATGACATAGCACAATCAGTAGTTACACTTCAAACTACAAAGAACATTAATTAATGTGAAATGCAAAATGCATTTAAAAAGTGAAGCTGGCATAAAGATCTTTCAATACTCTGAACTTTCCTATAGAGCCAGATACAGTTACATACAGGAATTAGACTAATTATGGTTATACAGTGACTGGACCAAAATGTCGCCAGGTTTGATGACATTTGGCAGTTTCTCGCCAGTCTGGTGATTTTCACCAACAAAAGTTAGCTGCCAAAACCACTGCCATCTCGGCATTCACGAGATAGCCATTTACCTCAATGTTAAATTAACTTGGCTGTGTAACTTTATTTTGTCAGCGAAACTTCGCTCTCTTGAAAGCTTCCACATAACATTATAAAAGATACTACAATTTTACATATAATTTCATTAAAATTGTTTACATATATCCAAAATTCATAACAATATATATAGGGAAACAGAGCAAATTGTCAGTTATATGTGTAGTATATGTGATAATTTATTTTGCTGCAGATAACTTAATATTAGGAAAGCTTGATTAGGGACTGCATCTTTACTGTCAGGCCCCCCTCCAAAAAAATTGCTGCATATTTTACTTGAAATTTTATTTTATTTAAAATAATTTCTTAGCACCTACCTACTTAATTGCTTAAAGACTAAGGGGTGCTAAATGTGCGCAATATTTTAGATATGCAATTACAACTCACACAAAGGAAAACAGCTAGCAGAGTCTAGGCAACGCATAGCTGACAAAAAGGCAAAGTGGGAGTTAGCATATTTAGTTGCAGTACTATTTACAGGCATGGAAGTTCTTCTACTTTTGGATAGTGACTAGGCAAAAAGACTTTACACTGCAGTTACTGCAGGTAAAGCATGATGAAACATGATGCAATAAGGAGCCTTGAAGAGGGAATGTGTGCAATTTAATTAAGAATTTAAAGGGCCAATTAAGTCTAATTTGGTCATAAATTTTCTTCACATTTTTTATATCTTACAATCGAAAGACAGTGAATTAAAGAAATGGGGCAACTTTCTAACAGGAAATATATTACATGAGTTTTACTAATTTTATTGAATTGTTTTTTGCTTTTTGATTTGAGTACTTCCTGCTAAAAAAGTTACCCTTTCATGATTTAATTTATATATTTTGTTTATTATTCATTTCGCAGCATACTGCACAACTTAAGTATCATAATTGAAATTTCACACACTTATCTATTTTAATTGTTTTTACCATTTTTTTATTATATTAATTTTGCTCAAAAAGTCAAGTGAACCAAAGGAATTTACATTCCTTAATTGTTCAGGTTTTAATATTCTATATTTTTATCTTTTTGAAGAATCCATTTGACGCATTAAATTATGAACTTCACATATTTACTTTGGGGAAAAAAACTCTAAACTATATTAAAACAAAGTTTACATATATATTGTTATGAAATGCCCAGCTGCAGTAAGATAGTTTTCTGCAAGGATGGTTTAGGGTTGCCATAAAATGACAAGGGAAGGCAGGGTTGCTAAATTTGGCACGGAATTGCCCATTTGGTGACATGCCACAGGCAGATGGAGAACATTCTGGAATGAATTCTTACCAGTTTGGCCCTGCCCGTCTGTGGAATAGTAGTCTAGTGTATTGAACAGGGCTGCGGTGTTGGTAGGGAAAATGAACGACTCTGACTCCCTCATATATATGTTAACATATACACATTGGTTACAGTTTATTTTTTTAACATAAAAAAGTAATAGATGCTACAGAAAAAAATTGATGGCATAGCAAATTATTTATCACATCCATCCTTATCTTTAATATTTATTTATTAATATGTAAATAAAACAGAAAATAACTATTTATTAATGCATATAATCCATAAATAAAAATAATAACTCAGTTTGTCATTAATTTTTTTTTTTTTTTCAATTCACTTTAATCTCATTTTAAATTGAATCTGTCCAATAAAAACTGAAGTCGACATGTTTTTAGTGACTCCAGCTCCAACTCCTTTTACCCCAAAATCTATTCAACTCCAATTCTGACTCTACAGCCCTGGCATCATTGAGTGAATCGTGAGTTTTATTGTGAAGAGTATCTTGAGCATGTTGAGCTTCAGAAGGGATTGACCAATTTGGGAGCTGTATTTAGTGTTTTGCTGTGAAGCTGTCTTTACAGTTATAGACTGCTCGTGTGAATGCTGTGTTGCTGATTGTTTCAGTACATTTGTTGTAGTTTTTCAATGACTAACATATTTTTGGAACAGTCCTGAATAATACTGACGAATAAAATTGAATTTCCATTATTCACTAAGTATTCTCATCAATCACTCCAAATCTACAAATTCATAGAAACACAACAATATATAGATGTAAACACTTGTGTGTACGAGGAAAATGTTTTTATACCTGCCCCAGGTGTAGATGGAGCTCCTGGAGTCATTGGACTATAACCATAACCACTAGGTGATGGTGTTCCAGCATAGCCAGATGGACTAGGTGTTGCAGCATATGCAGAAGGACTTGGCGTACCAGCTGAAAAATAAAAACTTTATAATATAGCAACTAATGTTAATATAGATAGAGTTTCATTATAAAAGAGAGAGATGCATTGAGTACTCATATGAAAACGAAGACAGCAGCTTAACATTAAGTTTTTATTTGCATATTAATAATCAACAATTTGCAATTAATTTCATACACATATATATAGAACTATACTTCACACAGTCCAACTTCAGTTGGGCTGGCTTGAAAATTTCAACTAAACTAAAAACTAAATTTTAATTGAGGAAAACAAAGATAAATTCTAAAAAATTATGGTGGAATTTTTTTAATACATAAATGATCAATTTTTACTTATATCACTTTTTTTCCCTTATGATATAAAATATTGTTTTTGGAAAAACAAAATCTGCAAACACAATCGTGCCTCTGAAACTGTTAGATGAAATTAACATAGGATTACCTCCGGAAGTGCAGTTAATGTGCAAAATAGAAGATATTAATTAAACATTCCTGTGCCCTAGAGTACAGTAGTTTCTCAGAACATTGTCATTTAGCAAAACATAAGATTTTAATTTATCTTTAACCCTCTCGACCCAGTTTTTCCATGATTAAAATTTAACTATGAAAAGTAATTTAATTTAATGCCGGCATACTAAAACTGTAATTTGAGTTTAAAGTTTTTAACTTTTCCTGTTTCCTGAAAATCTCCTTGGACAATATGTCCCAATCGCATTGTCAACTGGGACTATTTGTCTCAATCGTTGATACCTTTTAATATTATCTGCAGGTATATCCGTTTTCAAAATAGAGATAATAATGATTTTTTTCCACATAGTGGATACATAAGAGTTATAACTATGATTAAAAATAGATAGAAGGAACATTTGAGCATTGTATCCTAGATGTTTAATAAACTCTGGATGCATATTATCTGGGCCTGGACTTTTTCCTATCTTTAAGAATCAATAGCTTCTTCTAGTTCCAAAATGTCAAAGTCTCTATTAAAAATCTCTTGTCCAAATCCCAAAGTCCTATAGGAATCCTTGATCAATTTCTTCATCAGCTACTGATCTCTCTTAAATTGACCACACAAACACTGATTAGAAGCATAAAAATTCATAAAAGTTTTAATAATATCCGTGTAAAATTTTAAAACCTTACCTTTAAAAATGATTAGTACCTCTTGGGAAAAGGGGTCATCAAGTTTCAATTTATTTACAAATTCAAAAACCTTAGCACAGTCTTTAAGAGTAAGTTGCTCATTTCAAAAGGTTTGTAATTGTATTGTTGACCTTTATGTATCCAACATTTAGCCACTGCTGAAATAAATGGTCTTGCAAAAATAAGACAAGGAAGAATCTACATTTTTTATTTCCTTGTACGAAGTAAAAAGGAAGTATTGTAAACGCGAAAATTTTCAGGCAGCATATTTTAACGAAAATATCCATTTTGACCGCTCTAGAAGGCAATTTAACGATGTTTTTGCATGATATCTGTAAATAAGGACAGAGTAAAAGACTCTTTTCCTCGAAAAAAATTATAAATCTGCTTTAAAATGAATTCTGCAGAGAACTTTTCGTGGCGTCTGTACGAACGCATGTGTACGTATCTCGCATAACACAAAAACGAGTTGCCTCAAAACATTGAAATTTTGTATAGGGGACTGCTATAACATGTAAATGTGCACCTCGTATTTTGGTTGCAATCGGCCGAACCAAACATATATAAATATATATCCAACTCTGTTACCCGGCTCAGTGATCTCAGTTTCTTTACTCTTATATGTTTGTAAATTGTACATTTTTTGCTTTAAAAATGATTGAATTATGTTGTTCTTGTCTTCCGGTTAAGGTTTTCATGCCTTTAGTAAATCTGTATGCAATATCTTTAGAATTATCAACAATTTTAAAGTTGTTTAAGTGCCGCTAAGCTTAATAATTTTTTTTATGGCGGCCATTGCTTGTTTACGTTTGAAACAGCAGAATAGTGGATTTGTTGCCAATCTAGAGAAACTTAACTTTGCAACAACAAAGATAACGCCTTCATTTATTATTGTGAATTAAATCATGTTTAATCCTGTCTGGAATTTTTTCTCAGTGTTTAAGATTTACTTCGTAATTTTTAATACAAATATTTTGAGTTTTTATGTATTTTTGCCTTGTCGCGAAGTGAGAACTGAAATTCAATTGAATGAGAAATACTCAATCATCTGTGAAAAAACTGTTTCTTTTTTTTTTTTTTTTAGTTGTTGTTGTTTTGTTTTGTTTTGCTTGCTTAATTTCTTTTATACATCGTTTTAGCTTTATTATAGTATTTGGAATAGAACATGTGGCAACGATTAGATAATTCTTTAAATTATATAAATTTTGTGCATTCTGAGTTATAATATGAACAAAATATAATACTGTTAAGTGAATCTAGTGCCAGAGTGTCGCTATGGTAAACAAAGTGAATTTTAAAGAATGCATTTATTCTATTGTAGTTTATGCGGTGTCGGCGAAGTAGGTTTAATTCAATCTAATAAGTTTAAATGAAATGCAAGAAAAAATGCGTATAATTTAATATTCCGTGCAAGGAAGTCATGTGGTGTACATATCAGATCTTTTTCTATAGTGTATTGGTGTACTAAAAAGAACCTCTAATTCATCCCGGTAAGCCTTCCAATTGGCCTTACTAAAATTCTACCTGTTCTTAAAATAATACTATTGTTTAAAGGTTTTCTCCTTAACTCGGAATGAAGTAAGAATAATGCAATAGCCAGAGCCAGGATCATAAATTATTTCTCTGTTCACCTAATCTGCTAAATCGCCTGATGCCAAAGTTAAAATCAAGGTTGGTAACATAGGAATGTCAGAATTTCTGTAGATCAGTTCGAGAGTATTGAAATCCAAGGTCTTCCCACAGCTCTTTCTGCACTGTTCGAGACTCCACAATTTCAGCATAAACTACGTGCATTCAAATCTTCACATAAAATTGTTTTATTATAAAACTGAATGTTATCAAAATTTAACTGAGAACTGCCTGGTGGGCTATAATAGTTTAAAATGGTTCTGATAAATCCAGACATCCATTTGGACCATCTCAGCTCTACTATCAGATGGAAGGTCACTAATGATTTCAAACATATTGACTATAATAAAACATCAATGTCATGTGACACTAAGGTAGTCTGGTGTTGTGTTGGTTTTTCCTGAGAAATTCAATCAGCTTTCCAACAATTCTCAATTGTTGAATGTCCTTAAAAAGATATTTTGTATTACGTTTTGAAGTCACCATCAAAAAGAAGACAAGAGAAAGCGGAAAAGTGGTAGCAGATTTAGCATCATCTAGGGTGCACAACGAGGAGTCCTACATTACACCCCCCCCCCGTTTAGTTCTACATGAAAAAGCCCAAATTAGTTCTTGTAAATATATCCCCACTTTAAATATTTTCTGAAAATATGTGCAATATTTAACAAAGGACTAACTAATCTATGTTGCTATTTCAAGCTGCAAGTACATGCAAAAATTAAGTAAGATGATTCCAAATGGAACATACTAATAATTTTCTTATATGCGATTGCTGCTCTGTATTATTTAGCAACCTGCTATCCAAAATGGTGAATTGTTTTGGATATACTGTCATTTTTAATTACAATCCCGATTCTACTAAGCTATGTAACAGCAATTAGTTACTTTTGTACTTATGTAATTTTAATTAAATTATGTATTACAATGTAATTGCAATTACATTTTGCCCAAACTCTGATTAAAACACATTCTGCTGAAATCATTAATAACATTGCGAAACCTGAACAGTAACTTGCCTTCAATAAATTATATTCCGTCAAATGTACCGACTGCATCAAACTGAACAGTAATGAAATAGATAATGGAACACTTATTAAAAATAGACTTATGAGGAATGGGAGAACAACTTAAAGCAAAGAGAACTGTGTTTAAGTGCATGTATGAAATTTGTACTTTGTTATTAAAGCAGCCACCTTGCTCAGTCGCCCAAATCAGAAGATTAGTCACCAGAATGGGTAAATTAATTGATGGATTTTAATGTACAATGCATTTAATTTTCATATTGTTTTGATTACAAAATTGCTTCCATTATCGATTCAATATTTTTCTTTTCTAAAATGTTTACCATCCTTAATTTATATTCAGCTCAGGGAAGAACAGCAATTTTTTTTAAGATTTATTAACATACATTTTCATATTCATTTTAATCATGCGATATTGCTCCTTCATTACTTTTCCCTCTATAGAATATTAACGTTAATTAATTTCTAAACAACAGAAAAAGTACTTTTTTTAAAAATTTTTCCAACAGCACAGAATTTTGCATACTGAAAAACTACAGGAAGGAGGGGGTCTTTGTGCCAAAAGTCAGTTTTACGGTTCCAAGATCACTTTTCTTACTTCTGCACTTCATATACTATTGGGATGAAGAACTACCTTTCATCATATTGTGCAACAGTGAGTTAAATATGGTTAGGAATCGGAAAGAACTAATATTTGATTCTAAAATTTACTTGCGGTGGCCTATTTAATAAAAAGCACCAAATGAACATCTGAACAGTAATACAAAATTACTGCAATACTTGAAACTTTGTAAGCATATTACAGAAGAAAACTGATCCCAATAATGAATGCAGCTAACAGTTTATCAAAGGATAAAAAAGATAAATTATTCCTATGAGAAAAATTTATGAAGAAAATTATGCGGTAATTGATACTGCAGTTTTTACAGATTAAGAATAAATTGCCAAAAAAGGGGAAGCATTTTTAGTGCAAAGGGGCTTTTTTCCTAGAGGGACTATTGTTTTTGTTTTGCGTTGAATCACTGAATGTCCGTTTCACTTTTCAAACTATTTGCCACCAAATATTATCGCCCTGTATTATATTTAAAGAAATTTAATAATCAAGAATCTGCATTAATGTGTGTATATTTTTTGCATTGTGATAAAACAAAGAAGCCAAGAAGCCCTCGAATTTTGAATGGCGTAATCCTACTGCGAATACGGGCATCTGGAAGCCCAAATTTGGAATTTGTTTTATGATCGATTTCATATTTTGTAAAACTTTAATAAATTTTTGATTAGCAAACTCAAGTATTTCAAAGCGAGCCATGGCAACGTTAACAGAAAAAATATTTTTATCTCCAGCGCACGAGACCGCATTTCAGAAATTCTAAAGATATGCTCAATTTTAAATTATTTTGCGATATTGCTCTGGAACTAAATTTTATGGTTTAAGAGCGAAGAACATGATATTTAATCAATAAAGGTAACACGCAATATTTTTAAAAAATGCCTCTTTGGACATAATTTAAAATCTGAAACCTTTCAGATTTTCTTTCATCTTTTTTTTAAAAAAAATATTTTTATTAGACATTTGAATTTATTAATCACATATTATTTACTGAAAAATGGGAATTTTTGAAGCCAATTACCATTTTTCTATGTATTACCAAGTGGTCTTGGCAGCTGCTCATTCCTATGCATAAATGCTTAACGTCAACCAAAAAGAAAGGACAATATATAAAATTTAGACAACTTTGGATGACGTGTTGTTTCAGGGAGAGCAACTATTTTGCATTTTAGATAAAGAATACCTTTCCCTTTATACAGAATTAGTTTACCTGGATAACCAGATGGTGACGGTGTTTGTTGATAGGGAGAATATGTATGGTCAGAATTGTACATCACAGCACTTCCAGGAGTCTGTGGTGTGAAAGGGCCTTGTGTTGTCTCCTGATAGCCTGGTGTTGCTGCATTGTAAGCAGGAGAAGGAGATGGTTCATCAAATGGATAATCCTCAAAGTCTCCAGTACCCCTAAATATTTAATTGTAAAATATGAAACATAATAAAATATGTTTGTAAAACTAATGATGTTTAATTAATACAACAGAACCAACTTCTGCACTTACATATAGAATATGTATTAAATTCCCTCTGCAGATTTCCCCCAAATTTGAGTTATGATTTATTTGGAAGTATCTCAATAAAATTAAAAATTCTAACAATTTACTTGCAACTGCCAAAATTGTAATTAATTCACAGCTCTTAAGTATTCAATTTTAGTAAATCAAAACAATATATTCATTAAAACAGCTAAGTTTACATATCTAAATACAGAACAATGATCATGTATTCTTTAAAATTCATTCTCTAATTTTTGTTCAATAGAAAATAAAAATTTGCTTATATTTTTAAGGCTTGAAGTTAATTAAAATTAGTATGTTTACATTTCAAATGTGAAATCAACACTCAACAACATACAAAGTAAACTTGATAAAATATTACAAAAATTACTGACAAAATTACTTATATGTATAATAAATAATATAAAAGTATTGTTTATACATGTACACAACCCAAATTATTAAAAAATTTATTGGTTAAGAGTTAAAAAATAAATACACAATTTCAAAACAGTTACTTTAATGAAACAGCAATAGCAATTTCTTAAATGAATTAAAGGAAAATGAATGGAGATACATAAATATGTCATGCCACAGGAGGTCCACAAATTCTTCATAAAAATTAATTCAGGTCATTTTCAAGATTCATTCAAAGAATTTTATTTATTTTCACAGAATTTTCGAAATACTTTGTATGGTTCTAAAATTTGACCTGTGTATATAAGTAAGCATATACAGTATTCCTCCCGCATTCCTAGCGTGCCTTCGTGGTGTAGTGGTTCTGCACACTGGGTTGGTATTCCAGAGGTCCGCTGTTTGATTCCTGGTGAAGGCGTTTAATAATTTTTCATCTTACCTGCTTCCAAAAATACCTAATGTCTCTACAGTGGCACCCGAACTAAGAGGGTGGTGGATGATGATTTCTCTCTACCCAGGATTTGGCGATTGGGCCCTCCTAAAAAAAGTTGCCCTTTAAAGGGGGGAGCATATATGGTATTTCTTCCGCCTTTGTAGCGTGCCTTCGTGGTGTAGTGCTTCTGCACGCTGAGCCAGTATTCCAAAGGTACGCGGTTCGATTCCTGCTGAAGGCATTTGCTAATTTTTCATCTTGTCTGCTTCCAAAGAATACCTAATTTCTCTATAAACATCTACCTTAAATTTCAAATTTAACTTACTTGCTTTGCCGCAATAAATAATTTAGGCTGAATATTTTAAACTATTTCATTTAAAGTTAAATAAAATGTATTATTATCTCCAGCTTTTGAACAAAACATCAGATTTTATTCTTTTAATAAATGTATTAAAAGTGAGGGATAGCAAGCAATAATATGATAAATCAACTTTTAGAACTTTATTTATACGAATTTAGTCTAAATGTGAAGTAAGTATAATTCTCTCTCAGCAGCAGCACAAATTTTAGAGGATAAGCAGTAAAAAAAAAATGATAAATTTTCAATTATTTCATTCCTTTTAATAAATATTCAATTCAGTTTTTTTTAATTATTTTTTTTAATTTAGATTTTCAATTCAGTCTATTCATTTATTTTATTTGATGTATTTATAAGCATACAGTAAAAAAAATAGCTGATGTGTGTAACAAGCAATTGCAATATTAACAACTGGACAGGGAAAAAAAAATAATAATAATAAACAGCATCATATTTAGAAGCGAGGGTAAATATTCCTAAAAACCATATACACATGTTACACTGAATATTGCAACATACCGAGCAGGAGTATTAGCATTTGATGGATCCCATGCACCACCATGACTAGGAGTTCTATTCCCTTCATGTAAAGGTGTCTGGCTTCCATAATGAGGAGTACGACTACCAGCTACAAGCAAAAAAAGGGGGAGAAAAAGGAAACTTAAAATTAGGCACACAAAAACATTTAAATCACACTAGGCAATATTGCAGCGATAAAGATTTTCTGCAAGTACAAAACATTTCAATATATGCTTTAATGTTTCAAAAGTAAACTAATTTTTAAAAATTATCACAGTACTGTGACTTATTTAGAATAAACTAATTTTAAAAATCATCACAGTACTGTGACTTATTTAGAATAAATACGAGTATTTTACATTTTTAATACCACTAACAATATAAAATAATTGCATTAATATGAAACCAATGTTAATTTTCTCATACACACTTTACTATATAGTTTCAATGCACTGATTAAATTTAGTTGAAGTATTACATTTACCAGGGGTGTTTGTGGGACCTCAAAAAATCCCCTGAAACTTTTACGGACTTACTATCGACATTTTGGAGTTTCAAGAAGGGGGGGGAGAGAAATGAAAAATTACAATTATGAAGTATTGAATGACCTAATTATAAAAGTTCAATGAATTATATTTTTTGCAAAATTAATAACCATAAATTTTCAAACATATAAACTACTACATTTATGTAGTAATATCTTAAATTACCTGAATTAATTCTTTAAAAAAAATTATCTAATTTCTGCTGCTTTTTTTATTTTCTGATGTTTGTGGGCTTGTCTTTCTTTTGTGGTGAACTTCATAATTGCAGGAAGGTTGACTTTTATTTTCCTCATTTACAGTTGAAGAAATTTCCTCGAGAACTGCACATGCAGAGGTAGAAGCAGTTTGCTTTTCTGCTAATGTAGAAGGTTTTTCAGAGACTTTTATAAGTGACTCATCTGAAATACATGTTTTTAAGTCCTCTTGATATGTTTTCCAACTTCTGTTCATATTCAGTAAGAGATCTTTCTGAATTGGATTAGTCATTAGATTTTTTTTAGCCATATTTTTCACGAGGTTTCTTTAGAAGCCATTAAATCATATTTAATAGTCTGCACTGCATCTAGGGAATCAATCTTAAGAGAGGTTCTACAGTCAGTGACAAGTGTATCCATTAAGTTGAATGCACTTTACACTAATGGGCCATGGAAGCAGCTAAGGCAGGCTTTGACCAATTTAGCCAATGTAGGATACTTATAATCATTTGTGAAATCATCTTTTAAATTAAAAACTTTAGACGAATATTTATCAATTGTACACTTGACTTGATTTCCACTTTCATCAGATGTGTAGAGCATTTCTTTGGTGATATCAATATCACTCTGGTATAACCTTATTTCAGCTTCTGACTTTTCTTTATCACTAAAAATATGGGACATAAAAGATGATATTTTTTCAAAAGCTAATACTGTACTGGTTTTATCTCTTAGCTCTGGATCTAATGCTGTAAAACTAATTAGATATGAATTTTTAAGGGGTAATTTCTGTTTCATATGCTGTGCTGTATTAGTATAAGCTTTCATCAGAGAAATTTGGAATTCTTTTGCTATTGGATGATTTTTTGATAATTTCTTCAGGAGAGTGGAAGCTTCTGCACCAGTAAATATACTTTGCTAGGTAGATGGAATTCTGGATTGTGACATCAACATTTAATAAATCATTATAAGATGTGCACTCTATATACTCTATATTTTCTGGCTTCATAAAAAAAGAGAAAAATTTTGCCATCAATTTATAAATACTGGAATGTATTAAATGAAGCATTGTTTTATTATTTTTTTTCAAATAATTTAATATATGTGTTGAACTCTGGTAATACTGCTGAATATAATGCCATATACAATAAAGTTTTGTTTTGCATAACAAATAACCCATTTAGTTTTTCTTTTTTTTCCAAGCTAAAGCATCCTTTGTGAGTTGTTGGGAATGCAAGCAAGAATACACCCCTTCAACAATTTTTTTCTGAGCTGCAGAAATATTTCTTTTATTGTATACAGTTTCAACATAAGAAAAATAATCCCCTTTATCAGTTTTATCCAAGTAGTGAAAAAAAATGCAATAAGAGCATCCCACAGATCTTTGATTCTTTCTAAAACACATAAAATGTACACCCACCTATAGTCTGGTCTCTTCAAGGGCTTAAGTTTTTTAATGGCAAGGGATTCACAGAATTTTGAAAAAATTTTCTCTTTACTGCAGCTTTTCATCAAAATAGATGTCATCAAACAAATCTTCTAAGTATCTATCAAAACATGAAGCAAATTTTTTGCACAGTTATTAGCTGTGTGGACATGTGTCACCATCAATATCTAATAAGTGGGGTGCTTTGTTTGATCGTAGTCTGGTTTCAACACCCATTTTTTTTCCCACGCATGGTGATACATGAGTCCATTAATACACTAATTAAGTTTGCCCATGAAATATTATTATCTTTAATAGTATTAAAAACTGCTTTAAAAACAGCTTCTTAATTGCAAGATTCCATCTTTAGAGATGCAAAATGATGAACTACAACTTCATTTTGATTGTTGTCATAAAACTGCACCAATATTGCCAGTATACTTTCTTGAGCATTGCTAGTACTTTCATCGAAATTTAGAGAAAATGGAGTCTCCTTTAAAGTTTTAATGATATTTTCCTTAATAGTTTTTGCGAGCCCATATTTCATCTTATAACATGCAGTAGTCCTGGACATTTCCAACGAGTTTAGTGCCGTCTGATCGCGGCTCACTGCTTGCAGAGTTCAATTAAATTGGGAGCTTCACTCAAAGAAAGAGAATTCTCGGCGATAAACGAAGTTATTAATACCTCTTGGCGTGCATTTCTTGTCACTATATCCAATGGCCGAGCATCAGTTTCCAGTAAGTCATCAGTATTTTTTGAATTAGCATAATTACTTAGAGTCATTGAATGTCTAATGCACTTTGAATATTTTATGTGCGTCACAGTTTTAGAATGATTTGTGAAAGCCTTGAATCCTTCCCCACCATACTTCAGCAGTGAGTTACAAAAAACACAATATGCTTGTCCAGCAACATTTATTTTCTTGCAATGTGCCGATGGTATCCCCATTACCATCTCTCCATTCAATCCAATTCCACCTAAATGCATTCCGGACACCTTCTTCTAATTGTATAATATCACTATTTATATCAAGAAATTTCATAGTGAAATTCTCTTGCGTACATAAATAAAAAAATATTTCAATAAACGAAACGAAAAATTTACACGTGCATCAATAACTGAAACGAAAATTTTACACAGCGGAGAAAAAAAAAGTTGAGAAGCGATCAATGACAAATAGCTAATACGGCGAAAAATCCCCCTGCTCTACTTATTGGAGCCACGCCAGGAGAGATAAGACCTTTGAACCCAGAGTCACGTGATCGCACATCTAGTCGAACGAAGTCTCGCCCTTTTTTTTCTGCCGTGTCTACTTGCCGAAAAGAATCCAGAAGAGAATGTCGAGAAAACCGGGGGAATGAGTCATAACTCGCAATAAGGAAAGAACAAAAAAGAAGTTTTTTCCCCCTTTTCACGCATTATCACTGCCTTTGGAGAAAGAAAGGAAAAGTGTTTACCACTGACCTTGCGTTTTCTGCTTTCAAAGCAAACAAAATTACCCAGATCAAAATAAATAATTCATTATTATTCCTACTTCCTTTTGAACGACGATCCCCGGAATTTCCGGGTATCGAAGTTCAAAATCCCCGGAGCACAAACACCCCTGATTTACTGATTTATTTCATTTTCCTTCCTTAGATAACTTTTCTCTGAACATTGTGAAAGCTTAATTTAGAGAGTTCATATTTATTTGCATAATCTTTAAGCTTACTCTCTGGAAGAGATAATGCCAAAAATGACAAGTTCCTAGAATTCCCCATACTACTATTCTCTGCATGTGTATCTTTAACCCTATGAGTGGCATGGGATTTGGGATCTGCTCATAAAGACCTGTATTGAAACCACATTTAATACCACAAATTTGCACAATTACTTATTTTAGTTTCTGTTTTCATAAACTTCCATTCATTAAGATGATATTTACCTTATTAAAGAAAATAAGAAAGCAAAATAACTAAAATTATAAACTAATACATAACAAGAGAGAACAAAAACCTCATGACCAGATAAAGGCAGCCATGCCACTCAGGATATTAAGGCCATTCATCCAACTCTTCAAAATCCTAGACAAGATCATTTGTCCTCACCTCCCATTGAAATAAAGAAATAAAAAAAATGGAAACACTTATACATACATCATCGCTGGAGATTAAATTCTAAAAGGTTCAAAATGATGGAAGATTACATCATTATATTTAAAACAAAAGTAGAAATCTCTCCTCCTCTTTCTTGGTAATACAGTACAGTAAAAGATCATTCGATATTTAATTAACCAGAAAGCTCAAGCAACCACAGTATTCTAGAATTTTAAAAAATAATTAAATGATGGATTTGTAACAAAATTATACAGCTCATTATATAATAAGCACACATACATTGTCACCAAATAGCATGATTTAGTCCCATAAGCATGATGTCACAATATGATCATAAGAAAACATGCATTTACGTAAATCAATTTTCAATCAGTCAAGTTAATTCTGGTAAAGATGTATATTAAATTCTGTTTTTCACTGCATTTTGGAGAAAAAAAATAGCATTTGGAGTCTGTCTTTTATACAACAGCATGCAATAAATTAGTTTTTAAGTTAAGAGTCCTGGCATCAGAAAAGGCGTGATTTGAACAAGGAACAACGATGATACAAAAACTGCAGTACAAGACTTAAGCTTTAATATGCTATATTCATAATTTGCATCTATTTATGTAAAGAACGGTCTGTTTCGTAAATTTAATACTATAATAACTTGTGCAAGTTTGGCCTACGAAATACATTAGTTTTTATGTCTGAAATAAATTTTCTTTCTGACTGGAAATTTCTTCCATTCATTTGGCTTTTCTACAATAAGTTCAAATTGTATATGCTAAACTGTCACGAATTCAGCATTTCCCAAGCTTAATTGTAACTGCAATAGCTGACTATCTCCTTGTTCTCTTTCCCCGCAAGTCATGTTACAGTAGGTTATTATGAGTACATAAAATGCAAGCTATAACTTTCTTTTTGTTTAAATCCTTTCAAAATTAATTTTATAGTCCTTTGCCATAAACATAAATGTCTAGATTCAAATTAAGTGCACAAAGAAATTTTGCTTTTGCCCATAATCTAATGGTTTAGTCACAAAATATAATGTAGAGTTAAATATCAGAGTAACAAAAATAATATTGAAACAATAACTGCAAATATTAGTGTGTCTAATTCATACATCCTTTTTTAATAGTCTAAGTTTTCCTTTACCCCCACTTACAGAACTAGTAAACACTGCACAATTTTCCTTTCTTGATTTTCAAGAAATAAAATTTAGAGAAAAATAGCGATAATATACAAGTAAATAAAGTATTAGAATTACAAAACAGTTATTAAGAATTTTTATATTTATATCATCCCCCCCCAAAAAAAAAGCAGGAGGAGTTCAGACTGATTATGCTACTATTTTAATATTAGTAGTTAATTTAATGCTCAGTGAAAACGAAAGGTTCTAGATCAAATTCGAATCACTCATAATCAAAAATGAGATGCATGGCCTGGAGGGTTTTATGTAAATTTCAATTAAACTTAATATTTACATATACACAATGTAGGCTAAAATGCCCGAATAAAATATTAAGGCTCAAAAAGCAAGAACTGAATTATTCCGTAAAAGAATCTAAATCGAATTCTACCTTCAACAAGAAGAATATTTTTAAAGTTGTGTGTTCAGAAGAGGAAGGGTTAAATAAGGCAATATATGGACTCCTAACACCATCTCTTGGCAATATCAAAGAATATTCCTTAACATCAGTAACTACAAAAGTAATATTTATAATATTATCACAGTTTTTTATGATAAAGACATGGATCTTTTTAAAAAAAATAACTTGTCTGAAAATAACTGAAAGAAAAATATAAATTTATATTCCTTTCCTAAAATGAATTTAATTCCTTTAAAGCATTAGGCATTATACGACCCCCCTCCAAAAAAAAACAGCAATTCTTGATAAGAAGGTTTCAAAAGAAAAAAAATTACATTAATTGATTTCTTATCATATATAAATCATCTAATAATCTCGAAATCTATACAGGTTAATTTTTATTTTAAAATTTATCTACAAGTTAGGGGAGGAAAAGATAATGCTCAAAATATACAGAATTTTTCAATGCAATTTTTTACAAACAGCGTTTTCTTCTAATGCTACTTAGTAGATTAGCGAATATTTAGATATATACTTCACCTTCATACTGTGGAGTCTGTGACCCATACATTGGAGTGCGTGAACCACCAAGATACACTGGAGTCTGGCTACCATAAATTGGTGTTCGGCTGTAACTTGAAAGATTGCCCTTGCTTGGACCCCTAAAAAATAATTCAAAAATTAAAATTTACCTCAATATATACCTCTATAAAGTTAAATATAAAAGTATGATTAATAATATTGTCTTTATGAACAACAAAATTATACTAATGTGTTAAATATACAATACCCAACAACAGCCAATCTTGTCCTATCGACAGAAATAGTCTGGCACTTTGAGTGCAGTTCAACTCGAGCTGTAGCTTCAGTTGCATCTTTCACAATTCCAATATGGCCTTGCCAGGAAAACAGAAAATTAATGCTTTATGATGATTCTCAATAACAATAGTACCAGATGAAATCTCAGTAATAAATATTATAAGAATTTTATCTCAGAGAAACTTACTATTCTAACCATATACAAATTTTGAGCATAGCATTATAATGTATAGAGAATGCCAGTCAAAACACTTGCTTTAGAATGACTAAAATCATAAATGTGATATATATGTGACAACATTATCAGCCAAATACTTTTGTTATACCTCAAATAAAAAGATAATTACTTGCAAAAACGTCAACATAAAGCTAATTAATTTACTACACAACAGCATACAATAAATTCTGCCAATCTTTGCATGTAGAATGGAAATTCTTAGAATGCAATCTTAAGATATGAATTTTAAAATATCCATAAATATCTGCAACAGATTTACAGCATAAGTAGCACAATCTTTAACAATTTGGGGAAAAAAATCTGTTTAAGACATAATAAAAATGACAAAACAAAAATATTTTTATTAATTTCTACAAGGCATTATAATTCAGATGAGGGATGTCCAACCAGTAGCTTGCAAACATGATGTGGCTCATAGCTGCACATCTAGTCCCTTCTCAGTCTTATTAAGTAAAGTACCAAAACAGCAGATGAAAAAGTCCCCATTTTACGTTATAAACTTGAAGGTGCAGCGGACAAATTTTAAATCAAAACAAAATTTTTGCATACCTCAAACAAAGGATCCCCCCCTTCAATGGCAGGCCCAAGCCATCCACAGACAATGGCCACTACTAAGGCCAAATGCAGTGGTCATTTTATTATGAAGGCATCTCACAGGTGAGCCACATTGCCTCCTATGAGGGAATGGACAAATACATCCATATCCGGTATTCGCACCCATGGTCTTTGGTATGGCAGTCAGAGTCACTAACCACTTTCCCATCCTCACGGCTAACAAAGTAATGTAACTTTTGCTACTTTACAAATTTGGAAAACTACATCAAAAAGGTTAAAAATAATTTTAAAATCATGGTTTTTGTCAAATTCAGCCCACTGCTTCATACATTACAAACATTTGTTGACACTAATATTTTCTACATATCGCAACAGACTGCACATATATACAGTCTACTGTTCCAGGAATGGAAATAATTGATTTTCAGTCTAATCTACAATTGGAAACTAAAATATCACAAAACGATTTTTGGTTACTTTTAGACTAGAAAAAATATCAACTCTTAAAAGAAACTTTTTAAATGTTAAAACTCCTGCTTTGCATCAATTTACTTTGGAGAAAGTGTTTTTTTCAATAATGAACATGTTAAAATCAAAGTTTAGATTCAGTATAACAATCGAACATCTGAATGACTGACTGCATGAATTCAGCCATAATGTCGTATGTACCAGAGTACAATTAAATCGCAGAATAAGTGTGAGGTTTCACATTACAATATGTTTTTCTTGTATTTAATTTGCATTTTATTGAACTTTCAATTAATAGTAGCATAAAAAATGCATATTAAACTTTTTCTTAGCATACTATGCCACACATTTTTATAGTTTGTGAATTATATAAGTTTATAATTGAAATATTAAAAGTGCAATACATTATTGTGCCTTGCCACAATTTTTTTAATTCTGGCTCAAACCTATTAAATCGCCCATAAAAAATATATATCACAAAGAAATGCTGCAGAAAATTTATTAGAAAAAATAAATAAAAGGAGAAAAGAAAAAATGGAAGTATATAATTTATGCACTAAGCATGATAATCATAGTTACAATGTAACATTCTAGAATAGGCATCCATCCCTCTTCCATCACAATTTTTGCTCTTACATGGTAAAAAAGTTGCAGAAACCCTTGTATAACATGGTTTCACTCCACCACAAAGATTTTGCATTAACTCTCATAACGCTTCATACATGCACATATTTTGATAGCATGACTTTTATCCTAAACATTTACAGAATTTAGTTATTATTATGCCATCACTTGTAATATAAAATAACAAGATATTTATTTATACAAAGATAAAATGAATTTTGGAAATACCCACATTTTCTAACATTCACATTCTTTTTGAAATTGTGCTATGTACATCATTTACACAGTATACATCTTGTGATACAAGTATTCAATTGAGAGACAGTATAAATAACATAACTGTGAATTTAGAGAAAACTTTTCTAAAAAGTGTTGGGTATGTGTTACTAATTAGCTTTGTTGTTTTTAAGAGAAATTGTTGCAAAATTACATTTCAGTCCTAAATGTCTGAAAGTAAGAAAACTTTTAAAACAAAATTTTTTGGAGACAAAAATACAAATTTTGAAATGTTTGTTAAAAAGAAAAAAGTCAGCTCATTGCAGAAAATCTAAACGAGGCAATAGTGAGAATCATTAAAAAATATTTTGACTTTAAAAATTTTCAGAACACATACCTCTATTTTGTGTTGATTGTTAGTTTTGTATAATACAGGTTCATGTATCATAGTATTTATCTATCATATTATAGGAGAAATGCCTGTAATCAATCAGCTAGAGGTAAAATAGCAAAAACATATTCACAATTTTTCACATTACACACTTAACATTGTGAAGCTTGTGAAAAATCAGCAGAACACACTAACAAGTTTTTGAAGCAGACATAAGAAAAAGAACGAATATATTTAAGCTTATCAAATAACTGTGTTCATAAAGGGCAACTCCACATTGGGGCTTATGCGAGTTAACGGAGATGGTTTGATTGTCAACTGCCTTCCCTATGCATGATGCAAAATTTATCAGTTTGCTCCATTATTGAAAAAACAAAAACTGATTTAAGGGCAGTGTTGGCTATGCCAGATGTCTCGGTTAGATCAGATAAGCCCAAGAGTGGAAGACACATAACAAGTATCACGTTGCATTTGGTCTTGATACTAGTCAAGTTGCATCTGATCCACTTTCATAAAAAAATTTATCTTGCTTATAGAAATCCATTACTCCAGTCATATATAACTTTAATCAAAGTTTAAAGCAAATAGTACTTATTAAATCCCATCCATATAATCTTCAATCATTATAACAAGCAAAATGCTTATTTTTAAAAACTTCCAGAATTTCAAAACTAAATATATTTGTAATAGAATAAGACAATCTGAAAAAGGAACATTAGGAAAATGTAATAGTACAGGAATTTATGAATAGAGAAGACAGCATTTCTACTAGCAATTACACAATAAAGATATTCAATATTAAATAATAATAATAATACATGTACTCACTGAAAGCAAATCATTAAATTTCACACAAATGATACACAACATTTATTTTAAAGCATTCTACTATGGATTTATTTAAAAATTTGTTGACTATAAATATATAATATTCTCTATAAATATATAATTAATGCATAACTGATTGCACAGATCCACTTTCATATTTTTACCTGTTTTAGGAACTAAATGACAATATTTCTGCTGTCCAGAATGACAAAAGCACTTCATGGAAATAATTTAAATTGGTTATTAACAATTCTAGTTAGAGATTAATTTTGAGATTTTAAATCCCCAGCTAGTTTTTACAAAGAAATGCATGATAAATTCCAACTTTTACAAATTGAAACATCTTAGAGTACAATAGTTTCATTTATAAATAATTAAGATGTTATTTTCGAGACATTTAAAAAAGACAACTTCCAAATATAAAGCATTGACATAGACAATTATTTTGTACTAATTGCTGCATTAATTTAATTTGCAGAATTAATTTAATGACCACAGAAAAGATTTGGCTCAGAAATCTACCTTTATAAGGTCCATGGGTAATTTTTATAGTCTGACCTATTAATTCACTATCTCGCCTTCCTCTTCCTCGTCCCATTCCACCTCCACCAAAACCACCTGGTGTTCTACCACCTCCACCAGATGGATGCATAGGGCTATTTATACGAGGTGATGACGGATGAAATGGTGAGCGCATGTTTAGTTCTGCTAGAGGCTATAATAATAAAAGCATATATATTATTTTCTATTACATGAAAATTTTTAAAAATTAGGTAAAATTATACTTAATAACATATAATTTACAAAAATATAAAATTGTATTCCACATAATTCTAACTAATTCTGAGAACCAAAAATAATTTATCAGAACTGAATATTAATCAAGTTTAAAATATTTTGCATGTAAGAAACATCTTTAAATACTCCCATGAGTCAAGCTCTAGAATCACAATACCATACCATCCTGAAAGAATTACCATAACTTTCTTTCTATTAACTCAACAGAATGTGTTTAAAGAAGGAAAGTTTCCACAGATGTATCGTAAATCAGTTTGACTACTGTGCTACTAAATCCTGGAGGGATAAATTCTCATCACCAAATCATGTGTATAGTAAATTGAGAAATATGGTACAAAAGCAAAAACTTACAAGATTAATTCTGTAGAGATCGCGTAGTGCATGAGACCCTTGGTGGCTTCAGATATGCAGTTGCTTGCTCAATGTCGCCATCTATTAGCACCAATCAGAAGTGCAGCAGCAGACAAGTTTTGCAAGTCTTTGAAATGATAATGAACTTGGGATTCGATCCTGTGTCTGTTTGATGCAAGTCGAATTCTCTACCACTCGTGCAAAAGAGCTCCCATGCATTAGGTTCAAGATTTCGAATTCTTTCAATTTGTGGGTGTTGAGTGGCTCTCGAGATTGATACACATGCATTTCTAATGCAATATGAGGAAGAAACCCAGTCTGCGGGCAGCGATGCGAGCCCAGTGGGTTGATGTGATTCATCATTGCACTGATAAGACTGTGGCTGCAGCTCTAGTGTGTGGACGTACTCATTTGGATCTGTTGATGCCTGGTGGAGTGTGGTTGAGAGGCCCTGGTCTGTTGGGACTTGTTTCACCATTAAGGTGAGGTGGAATTTGTGTGAAAGAGCACACTGGTGTGTATGATGTAATTTGTTATTTGTCCTCAGTGGAGGGAAGTATTTGTAGTTCTCCTGACTGCCAATGTAGCAACTGCATGGTGCGAAAGACCTCAGTGGCTTCGGATGTGTACTTGCTTGCTCATGTCGCTATCTATTAACACCAAACAGCAGTGCAACAGCACAAAAGATTCACATGCCCTTGAAGATGATAATGACCTTGGGATTTGATACAAGGACTGTTTCATGTGAGTTGAATTCTCTACAATTAGTGAGAAAGAGCTCCAGTTTGCTAGGTTTAAAAACTCAGAATCTTAAATTTGCGAGCACTGAGCGGCTGTCAAGATTGCTACACACTCCACTCGGATGGGATATAAAGAGAAGGCTAGTCTGTAGGTATGGATGCAAGCCCAGCGGGTTGATGTAATTGATTGATAACTGCAGTGATGGGCGGTGGCTTCAGCTCCAGTGTGTGAGCATCCTCAGTTGATCAGCTGATGACTGACACAGCATTGTTAAGAGGTTCTATTCTGTTGGCACTTGTGTCACCATCAAGTTAAAGTGGAATATGTATGAAGGAGCAACTTGGCAGGAGTGATATATTTCATCATTTGTTTTCAGTGAAGGGAAGTGTTTGTAGTTCTTCAGGTCGCCAATGTAACGATCACATGGTGAGAAAGACCTAGGTGGCTTCGGATATGTGGTTGCTTGCTCGTGTCACCATCTAGTAGAACCAACAAGGAAGTGTAGCAACAGATGAGATTTGCATGTCCTTGGGATTCAACTCTGGCTCTGCTTCATGCAAGTTGAATTCTCTACCATTAGTACAAAAGAACTCCCATTCAGCAGGTTTCTAATTTGCGAATTCCGATGCTTTCAAATTTATGAGCTTTAAGTGGCTCTCAAGATTGCTACAATTCTTTGAAAACAACTTTTCACAATAATTTAAAGTTGGATATTTGTAGATTTTATTATTCAAAATTAAGTAATAAATTAATTAATCTACTTGTACGGAACACTGATTTGATTTATGTCAATACAGCAGGCAAAAAACATTTCATAGAACTCTTGAAATTCTTGAAAAACGTGACTTCAACCTCTAACATTGGCTCAACAGCTATTTTGTGCATGCATAAAAAAGTATTGACGCTAGATAATAGCCCCTGTAAAGTAAACTTTGTTCATATTTTTCTCTCTGCAGTCCAATGGAGCCATGCCTGCTTGAATGAAGTTTTCTTTTGTAATCCTAAAAATACTTTGTACTAAGTGACTGACCATCTGTTATTTGTTCATATGATAAACCATCATAGCCATTATGCAACTGCAAAGAAGTTAACATGATAATTTCTATCTTAATTTCTAAGAATATTGCCATTCCATAAAAAAATAACATTCTACAAAAAACCTTTGCTTCTAAATCTTTAACTGAAGCTCTAAAAATAATCAGACATGTGATGTACTTACAATAATAAATTATATACAATTGAGCAAAGATGGAACATTTGGTGCATAGCAACTTTTTCAAAATTCTATTTGTATTTCTGTTAGTCAAGAATGAAGGAAATTCTTAAAGGCTTTTTTAATATGTATTTCATTTAACAATTGAATAAGTAAAATTTCAATTGCTGCACTATTAAATAGATCAGATAATTATCTATAAAGTTTATTTCAAATCTTCAATGATTTTTGGCAATTTTTCAAAACCATTCTTTCTTTCTGCTTATATTTCTCTCAGAGTTTAAAAATCTGGTATGAAATATCTAGGTCTCGAAATGCTTTGTCATTTTTACAAGTTCAACTAAACAAACTAACCATATCTTAAAATAAAAATCATTGAAAGTTATATACAGAGTTCATACACATTTCTGCACACAGAATTTAAGGACTTTCAAGGACAATTAATGAAACAATTAAAGACCTATGAGCAAATGGGAACAGAATAAATTCAATTAAAAATATTATCTATGCCTGAACTTCACTTTTGTAATACCATACTAAAAATAAAATAGATCTGTAAATAGGATGCATTATTATAATACATACTTAACATAAATATTAATAACAGAATAAAATTTATGAAATTTATCAAGTAGCATTAATATTTTACACTTATAATAGTTGAAAGAAGATAAACGACATTTTATTTGCATTTTACTAATAGTTAGCTACATGCTTTGTCACACACTTGCTCAGTCTAGAAGTTTATTAAATAGTAAATACATTTTATGTCAAGCGGCACAGGTTAAAATGAGAAACAAAATCATAATCAGCATGGTGACCATGGTAAGGATTAATGAAAAGAAATAACTCGCTTTAATATGCAGAGATAATTTTTAAGGGTAAGCAGTTAGTTATAAATAATTAAATTAGGTAGTTAGATAACCTTAGTCATTATGGATTTACAAGGCCACTATGAAATTGTATTTATTTTTTAACAATATTTGTTAAAAAAGTGCTATTAAAATCACAATCTAATAAATCTTGGATACTTTTGCAAAATTTTAACTAATTTAAAATGAAATATTTTGATGTTTCAGCCTATACCATGAAAAATCTCAATCACAGTTAAAATCTAAAAAGACATTATACTTAAAATCAATGACCTGTAGAGCAAAGAAATGGAAAGTATACTTTATGATAAAAAGTTTTAAGCATCCATCTGTTATGAGATGGTTTACCTTAAAAAATTAATATTTAGGAAACTGAAACTTCTATAACTTACTCTGCCATGTCCACTTCCAGCTCCAGCCAAGACTAAATGCCTTGTTTTGCAAACAAATATTCCACCATTTTCCATCATCATTCTTGAATGTAAAAATGCAAAACTACGATAGAGATGTTTAATTTCACCTTGTCGTCCCTGGAGGGATAAAAATATTACATTTTCATTTCATAGAACACTTTTCATAGATTTCAAAGTTTTATCCGAGCTGTTGATTTTAAAATGCACTGCTTGGCTAAATTGCTAGATAATGCACTGTATATAAAAAAAAAAAAAAAAAATTGCATAGTACATTAAAAATTCAAAGACTACTTGTTCACCTTTCATTTCCTCTCTCCCAAGATCGAAAATTTATAGTCTTAATTATAAAATTTGATTGATTAAAATAATAATTGAAAAACTCTAACATTGCATCACATGCATAATGTATGCGATTTCAACATACTTTTTTATATTATGAATGAATCAAAACTACCAATGCCAAATACCACAACACCGGTATTTGGCAGTTACTGCCAAAAGAAACAGGCGAAGCACAGCCTCAAGACCTGTCTCGTCAGCTCTCTTCAGCCACTGGTACGACAATTTCAAGGCAGACCGTGTACAGACGCTTAGGGCAGATTGGTCTATATGCTCGTAGACCTGTCAGATGCGTTCCACTTACTGCAACTCACTGTCGCCTGCGGTTAGCCTGGAGTAGAGAGCATGCATTGTGGACACCGCAACAGTGGGCTTGTGTGATGTTTTCCGACGAGTCCAGGTTTAGCTTGCAGTCTGATTCTCGCCGGACTTTCATATGGAGAGCTCCAGGTACCCGTTACCACCAAGAAAACATCATTGAACGACACCGTTACGGTGGTGCAGGAGTGCTCGTTTGGGGTGGAATTATTCTGGGTTCCAGAACTGACCTGCATGTTCAAATTGGAACCATGACAAGCCAAATCTATCGGGACGTCATTCTGGAACAACATGTACGTTTTGCTTCGGGGCGCCATGGGCGCACAATTTGTGTTTATGGATGACAAACGCCCGTCCTCACCGTGCAAACATCGTAAGCGAATGCCTTCAATCGGAGGATATCACCCGTATGGACTGGCCAGCATTCTCACCGGACTTGAATCCAGTATAGAGCACGTGTGTGGGACATGCTTGGCCGACGAGTTGCAGCCCGTCAACCTCCTCCTACATGTCTACCGGAACTTCGGAGAGCATTGCTTTTTGAGTGGTGTAATATCCCCCCCAAGATCAGATCGATAATTTGATACTCAGCATGCCTAGGCGTTGTACGGACTGTATTGCATCGTCTGGGAGACATACAATGACATACCAACCATGTAATATTGGTTTTTTGTAAATAGGTTTTTTTTTTTTTTTTTTTTTTGTAATTTGCTCCAGGGAGAAAAAATCGCTAATTTTTTTAATAATATCAAACATATAGCATCTTTTTTGCTCTTAACCTTTTGTTTAATAAATAAGCTTTACAAATAAGTCAAATTTGTTTTGCTTATACCTCTTCCTTTGCCTGATTTTGCATTATCCTTAATTTTTTAACATGAATGTAATTGATATTTAAAGTGCTCAGATATAAATGAAATAACAAACTAATCAAAATTTGTTAAGTACACATGTAAATTCAGTTTCATAAAATATTTTGCACTTGTATTTATAAATTAATATCAAAATACACAGCAATTCAGCACTCGGCAACTTCAATATTATCACCTATTTCAAAATATAAATTACTTAAATTTGGCAAAAATAACATTAATGAAACTCAACAGACCATACTTTTATGATTACAATAAATATTTTGCTATTATATATCTTACAAATCATTCTTTTTTTAATTCATTTCTCTTACTATAAGAAATCTTTTTCTATCCTCTTCAAAAATAAACAAATGAACATAAATTTTTAAGTATATATACATCTTTCAAAGAATTGTTCATGTATATTGTTATTATAGTAACTCCTCTCCTATGACACGACAAAACAGCTCTGATAAAATAGCCTAAATACAACTAACTATAAATATCTTATTTCTAGTTTTAGTTCTAAACACTTTCCATGTGAATACATTCTATATAATTCAACAAAATTCTCATCCAGTTTTAGTACCTAAAAATAAATAAAAATATTTTCTACATTTTATACATTTTTACTTTCCTGTACAAAGGAAGAGAAGTATTGTAATCAAGAAAACTTCCAGGCACCATATTTCAACGAAAATATCCATTTTGACCGCTATCAAATGCAATTTAACGACGTTTTTGCACGACATCTGTACGTATGGACAGAATAAAGGACTCTATTTCGCCAAACAAATTATAAAACTGGTTTAAAATGGGTTCAAAAGAGATTTTTTCATAGTGTACGTACGTATCTCGCATAACTGAAAAATGAGAAGCCTCAGAATGCAGAAATTTTGTATACAGGACTACTAAACATGTAGATGTGCACCTCCATGTTTAGTCGCATTTGGCTACACCAGAAGTACATATATATATATATATATATATGTACTTCTAGTTATATATATAAACACTATGTTACTTGACACGGTAAGCTCAGTTTTTTATTCTTGTATGTTGATAAATTGCATATTTTTTTGCTTTAAAAATTATTGAATTATGTTGTTCTTATCTTCCAGTTAAGGTTTCTATGACTTAAGTAAATCTGCATGCAATATTTGTAGAATTATCAACAATTTAAAAGTCGGTAAGTACAGCTAAGCCTAATTATTTTTACCATAGCAGTCATATTTGTTTACATTTGAAACTTAGCAGAATAGTGGATTTGCTGCCAAACCAGAGCAACTAAGCTTCACAACAACAAAAATAATGCCTTCTTTTTTTATTGCGAATTTAAATCATACTTATATCCATTCTTGAATTATCATTTAAGTTATTGAATTATCCTATATATTTAGTCAGCATAGCATCTGCAACAAATTAAATCAGTTTCTATGCCTACAGTGGCTTTTTTAATATTGTAACGGCGATTACCTTCATAAGACTACCACTTTTGGAAGTGACTAGTGTTTTTAGGCAGTATGAGGCAGAGGTTCTCAACTTGGCCGGAGGGGAGGGGGCTTTGTTTCAGGAGAGATAATGCTGTTAGCCTATTATTTACCTGTTAACTACTTAGTTGTAGTTATGAATATGAAAAACTGATTTTATCACAAATTTCCGCTAAATAATGTTGAATATCAACATACAAAATTACCGTAACCAAATAATTTATGTAAATATATTTATTTACACAAGTTCATGTGTAACTTGTGTATACATATTTTATTTTTACTCTTGTACACAAGTTTATGTACAAGAGTAAAAATAAATATGTATACAGAACAGCTTAATTTCCTTGAGCTTTTCAGTAATCTAATAATTGAATCAAACTATGAAATTTAAAAATTATGCTTAGTTGATCTTTTGCTTGTTGGTAGAAAGTCCAGAAGTTGAGAATCCAATCCTGTGTAACCTCTACAAATCAGATATAATCCTTTCTTTTGTATAACTTTATGTAGACTGTGACAGTAGAAACGAAAATAGTTGTAGGATGATGCTGTTAAAAAAATCTGATGTGTACAACACATGACATCATTGTACCAAATATTAAATTATATGCATCTTTTGCGCATTTCATTTAAAAACTTATGGAATTGAATGAATTAAATTAAGTTTAATCCATTCTGGAATTATCATTTAAGTTATTAAATTACCTCGTATATTGACTCAGCATAGTGTCCACAACAAATTAAATCAGCTGCAAATTTTCAGTTTTGTGCATCGAAAAATCTGCCATTTTGCCTGCTGACCGAATAGCTTGTTTTTGCTTAGAAACTGTAATTTTAATTGTAAAAACGGTTTTTAAATGTTTTAACTGTACTTCACGTTTTTCTATATCTTTCAATTTTTAATGAAAATATATCCATTTTTTATGCATGTTTGCCTTGCCGTGAAGTGAGAACTGAATTAGACGAAATAAGCATTTCCTATAGGCAGCAAATATTGTCGCCTGTCCGTTTCAGACAGAGGAGAACATTTACAAGTAGAACATGCGCATTAGGTAAGGGCAGCTGAATAGTCTGTGAAAAACAGTTTCTTTTTTATTTGTTTTATTCCTTTTAAACATCATTCTAAATTTATTATAGTATCTGAATAAAACATGTGGCAACGATTAGATAATTCTTCAGATGATATAATTTTTGTGCAATCTGAGTTATAAAATGAATGAGATGTAAAGCTGTTAAGTAAACCTAGCGCCAGAGTTTGGCTATGGCAAATAAATATAGTGAATTTTAAAGAGTGAATTTATTCTATAGTGGTTTATGCGCTATTGACGAACCAAACTGAATTCAGTTCAATAAGTTTAAATGAAATGCAGGAAAAAAGTTAATATTCCATACAAGGAAGACATTTAGAGACTAGCAAAAATAATGAAATCAGTGTTTAATGACATTCATAATTTTAAGATTATTGCTCCACTTGTTTGTGTCAAACATGTAAATATCCTCTAAATTACAAAACAATTATAAATTTAAAAGATACCAAAATTTTGTATGCTGTGGTAACTTGTATGTCGAATTATTACTATAGCACGTATTTCTTCTTGACAAACGTTGTATTACATATTTTAAAAAGATACACCTACCAGCTAGCGCGTGGAAATATGTGTAAACCATCAAATTTAAATGTGCGTATTTTTTATAATGTATTTGCATGCAAAATGTAATTGCTGACTTAGATATATTGTGATCCTCTTTTAACGTTGCCAGCACATATTTAGACACTAAGAAATTTAAAAACTGTTCACAAGATACAATTCAGAAGCCTTTAATTTAGGATATTTTGTCATGAGCTTTTTTGTTGTGGTACCCTTATCACTCTTTCAATCAGGGTTACCACTCAAACAGGAGAACGAAATTCGCCGACTTTTCCAGGTGTGTTTTCAGAAAATTCCAGTCTATCCGCATAGTGCGTGTTGGCTATGCTGAGAGGTAGATTAATTATAGTACCGCTTGAAAACAAAACAAAACAAAAAAAAATTACCCATTACATATGACTTCTGATTACATATGATTATATATGTGATCCCCAAAGCATTACTATTATAACTATAGTAGGAGTTGCTTTCTCCACTGAAGATTTAGATTAGAATCTGCCCAATATACGAGGATTGGAACTTTAATAGTGGCAACACAGCTAAAAAAACCCTACGCAACAAAACCAAAGAATATTGCGTATACCACACGTGAACTACATACCTACCTTACCTCTCAGTAAAAAGACTCGTCCTGCCTACGTTACGCGCATGTGGAGTGACACGAAGAACGGATCCTTGCATTAGCTCGCGGTCTAAAGTAAGTATTGTCAGGATGTTTTCAAAACAAGAACAACGATGTTGGATAAAAATTGAATGTGCCAGAGGTCGTACAGCACAACAGTGTCATCAAGGACTTCAAGAGGCTTGCGGGGAATCTGCATTGCCTTACAGAACCGTAGCAAGATGGGTGAAAGCATTCAATGAAGGACGCCAAAAAAGTGGCAGACCTGCTGCGGCCAGGTCGTCCGAGTGTCAACGATGCAGACGTACAAGCTGTTGCCGCACTAATGGACAGTGATCGCCGCCAAACAATTCGTCAGCTCGCCGGACAAATAGGATTAGCCCATATTACTGTGCTGCACATCCTGAAGAAACAGCTGTCCATGAGAAAAATTGCTTCATGATGGGTTCCACATCAAATGACCGAAATGCAGAAATGGCTACGATACAATGCTGCCCGAACCCACCTGGAGCGCTATGAGCGCGTAGGAGATGCTTTTTTATGCCGTATCATTACGCTGGATGAGACTTGGGCCCGATCGTACCAGCCAGAACTGAAACGCCAATCAAACGAATGGTGTCATCATGGGTCACCACGACGTTCGAAATTTCATCAGAACCCCAGCAATGTGAAAGTTATGGTGATTCTCGTGTACGACTGTGATGGTGTCATCCTAACGCATACCGTTCCCCCACAGCAGACCATTACTGCTCATTTTAGAAGCACAATCTCCGACCAGCTTTGAGAAAAAAACGGCGACACTTTATGCAGAACATTCCTCTCATTTTGCATGACAATGCTCGGCCGCATGCAACGCAAGCTGTGACTGATTTGTTCAAGCGATGGGGCTGGGAAGTGCTTTACAATCCACCATACTCCCCATATCTAAGCCCTTGTGACTATGACTTAATTCCTAAGATGAAGGAACCACTTTGTGGCACTCGCTTCCAAACTGTTCCCGAGATTCTTGCGGCAGTAGACCGGTCCATTTAAACTATCAACAACACAGGCGCTGCTACAGGTATTCTGCGACTTCCACATCATTGGAAACGGGTTGTACACAATGCTGGCGACTATGTTGAAGGACTGTAAAACATGGTGACATGAATCACTTTTGTATTCCTTGTAAATAAATAGTTGCCACTATTAAAGTTCCAACCCTCGTAGAATAAAAAATGTCTTTCCGCCAACCCCCAACATTTTGCAGCTTAACGAAAGAAGAAATCTATTTAATGATATTTTAAAATAAATCCAGGTCTTCTATATTTATTTAACACCACACATAAGCAAAAAATATATACATTAAATTTTGTGATAATATGTCATCACACTGCTAGAATTAGTTTCAGGATTATGCGAGAGAAAACTGCTTGAAATTGGAAAGTATTCGCTTATGATAAATAAATTTAGAGGAAAGAAGCACCATTAAATGATACAAATAACATTAAAATAAAATTAATTACTTAAAAGTAGAATTTCAACAATCAAGTGATTTTTTGGCAAGTATAGTTATATTAAATGGTTAGCCTAGATGACTGATTACTATTTTTTTATTTTACTGCAAAATGACAAATAATGCATTTACTAAAAAGAAAATGTTTAAAAGATTTCATTAAAAAAATTATATTACTTTAGAACTGATTATTTCATAAAAATTTTAAGTAAAATATACTGAGTTTTCAAATTTAATTACCTGAATGCTCCTCATAATATATTAAAAATTGGAACAATTGGAAGACAAATTTAAGTTGTGCGAATATTTCCCAAAGTTAGGCTTAGCACAGCAAATTGCCCACCCCACAAGACAGTACATCCTGTTAGCATGCCATCCCAAGACAGCGGTTTGGAGATTGACAGCCTATGTCGAAAATGGGTTAAAGCATGCCTGGACCTCTTAAAGTCTTCAAATCTCCTCCCTTTTATGTGATATGAGATTTTTGGAAGGAAGAAAACTAACAGAGGGTGAGATCTGAAGAATACAATGATTGTACAACATAAAAAAAAATTATGTTAGACCAAAGAGTGCTGCCTAAGTTGGGATAAACAAGTATGTTGCCAGAGTAGAAATGTCACATATCAGATGCATACAATTTTCTAGCATTTTTTACCAAACAGCATCCCTCAAATGCCACAACACGTCATACTAGTACTCAATGGTTACTGTCTGGCTAGGTGAGGCATATTCACAATGAATAATGCTCTCATAGCTAGAGAATACATCCAAACGTTTCTTCGCATTCCAGGTTTTTTGGGTCTTGAAGGGACTCAGGACTGTGAAGACTTGAGTGTTAGTTTCAGGATCATAGCCATAAATTGTCATCTGTCATTTATTACAACCATTTTCAAAAAGCTATTACGATTCTTAGTACAATCAAGAATATATTGCATACCTGTGGTGATTCAATTTTCCAAAACAGCTGATTATGCAAAATTTTCATGTTTTTTTTTACTTTTTTGGGACAGTTCTTAAATTTAACTACTTCCCTATCATTTTGGAAATATTTAAATCATTCATAAACCCACCTCTTCCTCATACATCTTCTACAACTCAGCAAAAGCCTCTATGCAAATATTACCAAGATTTTGGCAAAATTTAATGCTAATTCTCTAAGGATGAATGTGACAACAAGACACTTTACATGCTTGTTCGAAGTATTTCCCTGAATCAGCAAAGTAAGCTATATTATAATTTAAGATGCACGTGCTAATGATCTGTACCAAATGTTATAATAAGTGTCAAAGTATGCAAAGCATTTTCACCTTGCATAAGTTTTTGTTTCGAGCAAATGGTGCCAATCATGATACTTTTTATTTTCCTTTTTAAAGTTGAAAAATATATATATGTCTTATTTAGGAGAAATAATATGTTCCATTCCTGATATTATTTTCAATATTTTATTCGGTAGTAAACATTTTGTACACTGAAATTACATTATATCTATCACTCAGCCTTTATATATACAATTTTTTATGTAAAGATTGATAGATATAATGTAGTCTCCTGTTACATATAATTTTTTTATGGAGATTTTACCAGAATTAGGAAGTAATTTGCTTTCTAATACATCAGAAGATCATACTCCTAAAAATACAAAATAAAGTTTTCAACAACTATAAATAATATCCAAGAAAGTAAAGACCAACTGGGTTACTCCAACTATCATTATATCCAGTTGGATATATATGTTCAACAAGACTATATCCAACTGGAAACATATCTGGGAAAAAACAGTTTTTGTTTTTTTGTTTTGTGTGTGTGTCTGTGGAGGAACTGTAGATAAGCCTTACTGACTTAAATAAGAGAAATGATAATGCCGGATAGACACTGCTAAGGTGATAACTGAAATCATTGGTGTTCCATTACCAACGTTACAACAAAATTTTGAAGACTGCATTAAATATTTTACATTTTATAAATATTAGGGTAAAATTTATTTATTGAACATTTTCAATAATCACAAGTCAGCAAAATCAATGGGAGAAATAGAATGTGTTTATTAAAACTTAACAAAATTAGGAATTAAGAAATATAATAAAGTTTAATAAAAAATTTAATGTTAAAGGCATTCATTCTACCATGCTCAGATTGTGTAGTCTATTCAAATTTAATTCATAAAAACTTAAAAGTGGTTTGAAATTTCAAGAAATTACTTCCTCTGATTGCAATTTGAGCAAAAGCCACGAAATATTTGAATCTTATTTCTGTGTTTTGCACATAAAATAATGTTTTGTATATAAACATTCTCAACAGATTTGAATCCACAATTAAAAAAATGACTACTTTTGTACATCCAAGAGTGTATGTGAGGATGTTTCAAAAATAAATTATTGATTTACAATAAGGTAATCAAGTTTAAAACTTCATAAAAAAATTTTAAAAAAAATATTATCACAATCTGAAAATGTAATAACATCCTTAAAAGGCTCTGAACTTACTGAATGGGGTCCATCAATAACCTTCACTACATCTCGAACCTGAATCTGATTTTGTTCGGAATCCAATGAAACAGCTCTCCTAGTATCTTTCCGCCTTGTAACACTTTGATGTTTTACTTTTACAACCTTAACATAAATATTTAAAAGCATTCAAAACATAATCCATTAAAAGAAAAATTTAGAATTATTTTCTTCAGAAAATAACTTACATTTCCATGCATATTAAGAATATGAAAATTTTCTTTTTCTAATCGAACTATCACACCAACAGTCTGAGCACTAAAAAGGAAAGAACAATCTTTATAAATAACATATTTTTAGAAAAATTATCCCACTTTAATAACTTACTTTTGTTAAACAGAATATAATACATGAATAAAACATTATATAGAATAGCAAAAGTTTATCAGAATCAGGCACAGCCATTTAAGACCCCTCCCCCAAGATAATGAAAAATAAATAATCATTTTTGGCAACTAAATAAATAAATAAAGTGTTATAACAATATTAAGTTACAAACACCACTAACTATGCTATTCGCAATAATGAAAGATTTCTTGAGTACTGTGTTAGATCAGGCTTACTTAAAAAAGGGGAGGAGAAGTGGCTAATTTTTGTAAACAAAATACCTATATAAAAGTAATATAAATTTCAAAATTTTTTTAAACTTTTTATTTCATTTTATCCCATAAAGAGATAATATAGATTACTAATTATATTAAAAGAACTATTAACGTTTCATTTTATTATGATTATCACTCTTAATTTACTGTACTACTTAAATATCAAAACAGTAAAAAAAAAAAAAAAAAAAAAAAAAATTGAATAAAATTAAAGAAATATATAAAATGGATTGCAATTAACATTGCAATTCTACATAATTTCATCATTATGATTATATCCTATTTTTTATATAGATCATAGTGTACCTGATAACTACAGTTAGGATTTTTTCAATCAACACTACCACGTTGACTGAAAATTTTCTAACTACTGTTTGTAAACAGTAGTTAGAAAAGTTAGAAAATTCGAAAAGCATAAAATACAGATGTATCAAAATGTTACTAAGAAATACAGAAAATTACTTTTACAAAATTAATTTTGTTGTGTTGATGAACAATATACTTTTGTAATATGGAAGATAAATATACTAGGCCCTGCCAACTTCTGATTTTTATTTGGAACGAACACACAGAAAAAAAAAGCATTAAATGGGAATAATAATACCTTTCTTAGATACTTAATAAAATGGATAAAAAGCATAAGTTTTAAAACAGAAAAGATGCAAAACATTTCATAACTGATCTTCATTTATAGTTGAGAAAAACTGGAAGTGAAAACAATAACACCCTTTTGATACATTTATAAAAAGCAGCATATAAAATGCACTCAAAAATACTTCTAAATAACCGTAAAAGATTTGGAATTTAGCAATACTGTCAATATTACCGACTGTTCACTGCCATTTCCTCAGAGAACGGCACTAGCACTTGGGATGCCCAGTAAACTTTTCATAATTTAGTGTAATATATTTGCTACTTCCAAATATAATGTAATATGTAACATAACATACAATACACAATGGAATGGCAAAGTGCAATTTTTTATAATTGATAGAATTCAATAATGATAATAAATGTTTGCAGTCGTTTTTTAATAGATTTTAATTCAGAATTCACTATTTTTTTATTCAAAATACAAAGACCACTTTTTATAATGAAATATGCATTTACTTCTTAAAAAAGAAGAAACAGTGAAAAACGCTTTAGACAAATGGTGATAACAGTTCATTAGACTTATTAGTGTTTTAGTTTAGTGAGATTTATAAGTACAGTAAAAGTCCAAAAATCCGCAAAGCTTGAGACCAGAAGTTGTGCAGATTTCAGGACAGAAAAGATAAATTCTAATATTCAGACTAAAAGTGCAAAATAAATAAGGCATATTAGATACATTTAATTAAATTATTATATACATTATTGCAATAACTTATTATATGCAGTGTTAAATTATTATTACATATATAAATGGATTATATTATTCAATTATTCATTGTATTATATATATATACAGCATCGAGGTTTGCCTATTTTGCCTCATGCAAAGATTTCCGGTTTCAGATTCCGATGTTAGAATCACTGTTGCTGTAAAATTTCAACAGCTTTTCTTCATTTTTCTGTATATCATATACAATCGTATTGCAATTCCATACGATTCTGCTATAAAATGCACCTGTCTCCATCTTTTGCATTACCGTCAATATAACGTGTTTACATTTTTCAACATTGCAAGCAGTAAAATCATGAGTGTGTTTCTTATCTGCAATTGTATTAAAAAGGGCTGAAATTTAAAATATTCTTAATTTAGTGCGTTCGATGTTGACAAAATTAATTAACAGAATAAAGTTGCTATCAACAACAAAAATGAAACAGTTGGCAAGTTCGAAGCAATTTCGGAACAATTAATCAGAAAAGAAACTGACTTAAATTCTTTAAATGATGAAATTGAAACCTTTTGAGCGCTGAGACAATATCTGAAGATATAGAAGCTTCAGAAGAAATGAAAGAAAAAATATTTGGGGGGGGGGTTCAGCCTTAATTGATAATGGAAAAGAGCAGGAAATTGCTAGAATTTTCCTGGACAATGATTCACACCGTTCCTTTGTTTTGTCAGCTATTTCCAAAAGGTTTAACTTTCCAGTTGTTGGACAGGAAAGTTTTTCCATTTGCACATTTGGTGCTAAGGAAATGGAAACAAAATCATTTAATGTAGTTATAAACTTAAATTACAGAATAGAGATGATCCAAATTTATGCATAGATATTGAAGCACTGGAGACAGATCATATTTCGAGCACACATTTACCGACTCCCGATAAAAATATTGAGAAACAATTTAGACGTTTAAAAAATGTACAACTTGCGGACTGTTATGAATTTAACAATAAAGAAATATCAACACTAATAGGTGCAGATTACTATTATGATATTGTCACTGGTTGAATTACACGCCTAAACAAAACCCTCGTTGCAGTTGAAGCAATATTTGGTTGGTGTTTGCAAGGCTAAAACACGAACTTGAATGAAACGTTTGCAATGAGTGTTACGGTAAATAAATCCAATACTTCAGATCACTCAAGGAATTTTGGGATTTAGAAAATTTGTGTATCAAGGGAGAAGTAGCTGACATAGAAACCATTGAGAAAGATATAATGAGGAATTTGAATCCGGAATTACATATCAAAATAAGCGATACAAAGTGAAATTGCCCTGGAAACCAAATATGAAGATATTAGAAAATAACGAGCAGATAGCAATGAAAAGATTTTTGAGATTGAGAGCATCTTTTAAAAATGACCCTTCCTTATTTTGTGAATATAACACTGTTCTAAAGAATTATCTTTTGGAGAATATTATTGAACCTGTCCCAGTCCATTTAGTAAATTTACACCAAAATACATTTTATCTACCTCATCGAGCTGTAATACATAGATAAGACTACAGGTAAATTACACATTGTTTTTGATGCTTCGGCGCATGCGAAATGTCGTTTATCTTTGAATGATTGCTTATACACGGAACTTAATTTTATGCCTAACCTATTTCTTCCTTTGATCACATTTCTTCCTTTGATTGAATCCGATAGCATTTGTTGCAGATATAAAGATGGCCTTTCTCCAGATCGAAATAAATGAAACTGAACGAAACTACACTAGATTCTTTTGGGAAGAAGATCTAGGAACTCCTTATGAAAACTAGAAATTGAAAATTTTTCGAATGACAAAGGTGTTATTTGGGGTGAGATCTAGCCCGTTCCTCCTTGCAGCTACAATCAAACATCACTTGAAAAGGTATGTAGATATATTTCCTCTGACTTCTAAACATCTTAATGAATCATTGTATGTTGACGATTTTATTTGTGGGCAAGTCACTGTTCAACAGGCTCTAAAGACTTGTAAAGAGAGTGTAGACATTCTAAAAGAGGCAAGCATGGACCTTCGAAAGCGGAAACCTTCGAAAGAACCAATTCTCCTGAGTTAAGTAAAAAATTAAAGAATATAAACTTCAATGTAGATCAGGGTCAAGAATCACCCTGGAAACTCAGGATTCAAAGTATTGGGAATTGGTTAGGTTGAACAAACTGACACGTTTTATTTCGATAGCAGAAATCTGGAATCATTTCTTTTAAAAAGAACTAACACAAAAAGACACTTTCTACAAGCGGTAGGTCGACTTTTCCATCCAATAGGTTTTATAGGACCATATACTATTAGAGCTAAGTACTTGATACAAGAAATTTGGTGTTTAGGATTAGACTGGGAAGAAAAATTGCCCAAACAGTTAGAAATAGCTTGGAATAAATGGTGTGATGAGATCCAAGATGTAAAGGAAATAATTATTCCCCAATACTATTTTCAAAATTCTTTGCCCAGTCATGCAATCACAATTCAATTACACTGTTTTTCAGATACATCTAAGAAAGCTTATGGTACTGTTGCGTACTTACGCATAGAATTAAACGGTGAAAATATCATTTCTAGGTTTATAGCATCAAAGGGCAGGGTAGCTCCGTTAAGAACCCTTTTGATTCCTAGATTAGAGCTCATAGCTGTACTTTTGTCTTCAAAATTGAGCAATAAAATTTTTATGCACCAAGTTTTCCACTTACTCGATATTTTTGGACAGATTCCTCAATAGCTTATTACTAGATCAAAGGTGATCCAAATAGACATAAGGTGTTCGTGAAGAATAGAATAAAAGGAATACAAAAATACAGCAACTCAAAGGAATGGCATCATTGTATAGGAAAGAATAATCCTGCTGATTTGATTTCTAGGGGTTTATCCTTAAGCGAGCTCAAGACTAATCACCCTCTGGTGGCATGGACCCTGTTAGTTGACAATGAATAATACAGCATGGCCATCATCCTTAGATTCAATGGAAGAAACCATAATAGATTTCGATAAGTTTAAGAAGTCAGTTGTTGTAAATACAACTGTTGAAAATAACCAAACTGAAAACTATTTGATCGTAAGATACTCCTCATTCAGTAAATTAATTAGGATAACTGCTTTAGGTTTGAGATTTATAAATAACTGTAAAGTGAACAGTTAAGAACAGACTTCATATGTACTTCTGAATTAAGACATGCTACTGAAGTTTTAGTAAAACTCGTACAGTCAACTGAATTTCAAAGGGAAATAAAGTACTAAAAAAACGGACAATAGTACTTAAAAAACGGACAATCTATTCCAAAAAATAGTAAAATATCATCTTTGAACGT